CATTTTTCCTTTCATCCGCATGATTATGCCCTATGCCTGTGCTGGCTTATAGTAAGAAGCATGAATGAGTTATAATTACTGAAAGTGTTCTAAGCATTCGACAACAAAGTAGTGATGTGAGAGATCAATCTGCATTGTGCCTCTAGGTAGCTAATGAACTTTGATTAGCGTCGACGGCAAAGCTAATATTTTGTTCAAGTCTATGTCAGTTGTCCCAAACTTGAATCTTCTGGCTTTAACATTATTTAACGAATTACAGTATCCAGAAATGAGACAGTTTCCTTCAAGTGCATATATAAGATAAAACACTTTCCTTAAGTGTTGTCAGATGTTTGCCACGTGCCGACCAACTATTCCAGCCAAACACCATATAATGAAGCAAAAAAGGTGACATTTGCCTCTTATCAAGGAGCCGATGCTTTGTGCTCAACAATAGTAGAAGAAAGAGATTATGGCACTATCGACTTATCACCTTATTATAAACTTAGGGCAGATAATAAGTGAAGAAAGGCTTTTTGATTTCTCTTTGATAAAAGTTTGTCGCGAGATGAAAAGACGGTCTTACATCATTTACGTACAGTATTTGCAAGACTATAAAGAGATCTACTATATTACCTGTGTTGCATAAAGATAAAATCGGTGCCGCGTTTAAAAGAAATGAACGCGATATCACGCTGAGAGTAACTTAATTAAAACCATTTTCAAGCAGGGAGCGACATATATTCAAAATCAGTCCATTAATCCATCTAAAGCCATGATACTTTTGGAAACTTATAGTTTTTCACTTTTGCGCTAAGTCACGGTAACGTCCATGTTATTGGGATTTTTAGCTCGAAAGTCGTTGTATGACTGGCGAACAATTAGATTCGCTGTTATGAATCACCGAACACCTTTTGAAGACCTTTCCCTTTATTTTGCATGGAGTATTAGCAGATAGAGAATCTTTATTCCAAATAAAGAATTTTTTCTAGGAAGCAAAGAGTTTCCACATTGAGGAACCCTAATTTCAAAAATTTGTTCTCATAGACAGAGCATCTAATACTGGCAAATAATACAACGAATTCTCTATTGTTTATGAGTGTTTGGGTTTTCTGCCAGTATTGAATGTCCCAAACAAATCCGTTGAGAGTTTCATTCTCGTGCGGATTTTGTAATGTGACGATGAAGCATAGAAGGTGCTTTCAATAAGCAAATAGAATTGTTTAGACTTACCATCAATCTTACCGTGTCACCAATCCTAAAAAGAAATTATCGCGTCGAATGAATCTTTGATGGAAATAGTAGAAGCAACAATAAAGGTTTTTTCAGATTTATGCAAGGTAAGATCAATAAAAACCTTTTTAGATGGATCAAGCTTGGAGCATCCATGGATCACGTCGCAACTAACAGCATCGGAGTGTTGCGCAAAAAACATCATCTATTGATAAAAATTAGTAGGCACAAAAGAAACAGTTCTGCACCCTTAAATTTGAAGTCAAACCTAAACGTACTCCATACAGAAAAGATTTTTGTGACATCCTCCCAACGACAGTAAATCTCATCGTAAATGCTTTATTAGGATTAAAAGAAAGAACTCGAGGGTTTAGTAAACGAGACATGCTGAACGACGTGCAGTGCGTTATATTTTGACGCCCAACAAACTGTGCTCGAGCGTAACATTTTTCAAAATTCAGAATTCTGCGGAAGTCTCCAACATTCCGGAAATTTTGCGCAATCACGCTAATCACGCAAAAGCGCAGCTCCATAACTTCCTTCTCAATGAATATATAACAAATCCGGATAAAGCATTGTGGTCAATGAAGGCAAATTTCTTGATATAGAGATTATCTGACCTGCTGATTACGAAAATCGCATCTGTTTATCGCAAGAGTTTCATATTTTAGGACTGCTTTGAGTAGAATTTGGGACGACATGATTTTTCCAGATTACACCAGCTCTTCTCTCTTTAAAGAGGAGCGTCTGGGTAATTTCTAACGTTTGATAATCTAAGGGAACAGCACTTTCGAATAATGCTTGAATTTATGTGTGATGTGCCCTCGCTGGTTACATCCCTGCGAAAAGACGTCCGTACAAAAATTTGAGACAGTTGGAAACGCAGTATAAAGGACAAGTGTAGAAAGATTTGATTTAACACATTGACGACAACGCGCATTTTCAGTCGTCTTGAAGGACAATGCCTTCCACGAAAAAGTTGAAAATTTTCGGCTAAAATCACACAGAGCGTCATCTACAATGAAAATGCGGTAATTCTGAAAAGCAGAAAGAAATGCCGAAGTTATCACTACAATCAGAGCCTAAGAGAACTTCTAAAATGAAGGTTTACCGAAATAGTATTCATTTTGACGAAACTCAAGCCATGACCCATCATGTGGGTCAAGTTGTCATCAATGCGTTAATGAGCCGAGCGCATTGCTTTTTCCGTATTTAGAATATACTCATTGCGAAGGAAGGTAAGGTGCTGCGTAATTTGCGTGATTCGCGTGATTCCGCGAGATTCCCGGAATGTCGCTGATTTGAGCGATTCGGGAATTCCGCGACAATCACGCAAGTTTTGCACGTTCTGTGAGCGGTATAGTATCTTTTACCTCATGCTGTTAGAATTCGATACACTTGCTTGCTTCTTCGCCAGAAGCAGTGTCAAAGCAGTAGAACTTCCAGAAAATTTCTCGAGCCTTTTTTTCGTATGCACTATCACAATTTTTCTCCGTTCTGCTTTCACTTTAGTTCCAAAACATAGCCTTTCTGATTGTAATTCCAATCTCTTTCATTCCCAGTTGATTTACACATTTTCGTTTCAGTTGTGTTATGTTTCGTCGCATTTGCAGCTCAGCTATGCTCAAATTTCAAACAAATGCCTGACTCGACTACCTTGCATTTTCGAAAATATATGCAAAATGCTGATAGCCACAAATCAAGTAACAACTTTTTCTGAAATGCGCAAGGTGTTGTAGAGCGTTATCTTACAATTAGACATTCTCTTCATTAAAGTAGATCAAATAGTCGGAATTATGTAGTCGTCAAACGTTCTACGTGCTGTCTATCTGTATAAGTATCACAAACAGTTTTCTTTGACTTAGATAACACCTTTGACCACGACTATAATTTTAAAGCGGAAAACGACAAAAAAGGAGTCATTTATGAATTTTTTATCCACAGTATATTGGTACAACAAGCGCAGAAGTGATTGGATACTCTTGTCACAACAAGGGGATTTGTGGAAGTTTTTCTTTACCTTACCTTTGCTTTCATGTGCTCTTGAGTCGTAACTGCCGATGCCCTTCGAGTACATTTGAACTCTGTAAAACTCCCATTAAACTCTAAAGTGTTCGATGATTCATCTCAGAAACTCATATTCTCACTTGTGGCCTCACTACGAAGTGCTACTGCTGGATATGTTAAATAGGAGCTTACAGAGTTAGATTTTTTTCACCTATCAATGGAATTGATTTTGAAAATACTTTTGGCCTCTTGAAATGACGTCTGTCTTAGAAAAAGATTTGTGGTTCCAAGTGTCATGAAGAAATCAAAAGCTATTGTACATTCTTATGTTTATTGCTTGCTGACTAACAAAAAAAATAACTAAATGTCGAAAATAATTGATGAAACAACTAAAAATCAATTCGATAACGAAAGGGTAGATTTTGAGAATTTGTCAAACGGTTTCAGTCGTCATGACTTCAAGCATTTACGGTTTGCGAAAAAAAGAATAAACACTTCAAAAGAAAAAACGGTATATCCTCTTATCAAATTAGGAAAAAAGAAACAGAATGGCATACCAAGTGATCAGCCACGCAATTTACACACCCTTATCACACTGCAGCTGTCGGCAGCTATCAGTTCAGTATCACGGGTGCATAAACGTAATTACCATATTATTTTGCTCAATAACCGAAAGCTCCCCCCCCCCCCTCGGATAACCGGCAAACTGTTTTCAGCGCGGCTCATTTGTCTCGTGTCAATGTGCGCGATTTATAGAAAACTGGTTTCGAGAGTTGCGCCGTTAGCGATAAATTGTCAAGTAATACCGTGTAGTTGGTTTTTGTACCGGCTGCTACCACTTTGCTGATGAACATGATGTCATTATTGAAGTTTCCGTTACATTCTTGAAATCAGATGCCATATTCAGCAAACCCATAACGAGATAGGCATATAATGCGTTATTCGTCCCGTCTCTACCGTATCCACCGCTATAAAGCTGTGTTTTCAATTAGTGTAACGTCATGTCCTTTGCTATTGTCATCCCTGTTTATCTATGCAGATGGAGTTTTTACCTAATCTGAATATCTTTCAACTTTCACTGACAAGCGGAGAAACTTGACTGACCTTGCCCACAAGACATATGCTAATAATGGCTGCATCAAGATTTCAAAATTGCGTATTTGTCTTCACCAGTCAAACTTACAGGGCCATTTTTTGCTTCGATGACGCTAATTCAGGTAGCCTGCTATAAGACTAAGATTGCCAAATGATTTGTCTTCCCCTGCTGATTTTTCTCATCATTTTGATTCTGCCCTGATATTGAGTCTAAGGAATCATTTAACTATTCATTTATGATGATTCAATATTATTGAGCTACTTCAAAAGTAGAGAGTATCTGCAGCTTTGGCAGTAGTGGTGGGATCCGAAAAGGTCGTATTTATTCTACTTTTAGTGGTTTACAAACAATCAAAACGAAAACTGACGACACTTTGTATTATTTCTAATTGTTTAGTAGGTTGTTATAAAACTACTTGTCCTGCTCTTTACGTCCGCGAAGTCAAAGATGCAATACATCAGAAAGACTCGAAGCTGTTTTGTAATCGGAGTCACAGATCCGCACAATGCGCTGATATACATCTCATTGAGAAAAACCACTTTTGGTCAAACGTTTTCCCAAGTGAGAAATCACATCAACATACAAAGAAACAACGATGCAAACCTCATTTCACACCTTATTCATTCTGTTCTTGTGGCTTGAACATGTTATTTGTAAATCTCATAATAATTTAATTACCATATATAGTCTGCTATTTCAGCTTTGATCTCTCGCATTCTGGCTAGCGTGACAAAATGGTACAAGTGAATGTGGTAAGTTGGCCGTTGAATGATTTTTTTGACTGTACATAGTTTCCCTAATTTGTTAATTAGCATTCTACATTGATTACTGTCTTGCATGTCGCGTCAAAGTTTTTTGCTCTCCTTCATGTACGTCAAGACTACCGGTAGAACCTGCACAGGTTTCCCCTATCAGACAAGATATATGGACATTGAAACTGTATTGCAAATGGTTTGGAAAAGGATGACGATTTTTAGATTATCGTTGAGTTGAATCACAAAATTAAGAGCAGATAGATTGTTGTATTGTTGTTATTCGTAGGTGTAATCAACCCCTTCTGTTTTGAAATTATGTTTTGACTCAAGCCTTCGAAGAAGTTTTCCCTAGAAAGCTATGCTATGCCTGCATAATGGCACAATTATCCTGTGCCTGAATAGCATCAAAAATCGCTGGGGATCCTGTGAGAAAATTTGTTGCGTTTCGAAGTGCTTCGTTTTCCATGAGAAAACCTCCTCGCTTTGTTAATTCAATAGTTATTGTAATAATTAGGCGAGTTCTTTGGACCTTCTCTTTTGAGAAATTGTTTTTTTTTTCGAGAAGCCAATGAAGGTGTAAAAGACTATAGCGGAACAGTCAAAGTCATGCGTGGAAAAATCTTTGCGCGATATGAAAAAAGCACTTGCTGGGAAGCTGTGCTTTGAGGAACTTGAGAAATGCCTAAGAGAAGCTCGAGAAGTTTTAGTTATTTCTATTCCAATCTCACTCTTCGTTTACTTCATGTTCATTCGAAGCCGGTTTTTCCACTACTATCACTTCCAATTTCTCACAATTCTCAGAGGGTCGGTCGATGAATTTCAAGACATTATAATTTGGACGAGTTCTCGCTATGCAGTTTTTAGACATTATGGGCAAAGATCAAATTTACCGCTAACAAGTACGGTTGATCAAGACACTCGCTTTGATGAGATTTCAGTTTATTGGATATCTGCTCACCTCTACTGATCTCTAGTGATTCAATGACCTTGTAGAAGTTTGTGTTCTAGGTGGCTGTGGGTAGCAGCGGGAATGAGCGACCTAAAGAAGAACCAAAACTTGGATGGTTCGTCTACATGCTAGCATTCTCCGCTGTCATAGGTGCGTTCTCTAAAAGTTCCCTTTCCCTTGAAAGCAGTACTAAACAGAATTTCGGCCCCAGTCTTGTCATTTGGGGCGTTATTGTCTCCTAACGCGGATGTGGATTGTGCCGGGTAAGGCTGACAAAGTTTCAGAATTAATCGTTTTTTTAGCTGTACGGTACATTGTCCTTACACAACACAAAGAACACACATCTCACTCCAAAACATGCTATCTTCAGTAGGTCGTTGGAGACGACAGGTCATGCCAATTACCAGTTTTTTGAGCACTTGCTCACGCACAACTCAATGTTTTGCCTTAATATGCAGTTACTTGTTATTGATCAGAGGGTTATTATTGGTCACCACAAGAATCCCACAACTCTCAGGCGCCTATCGGTGGCACTCGTGATTCCCAAATATTCCATTTAAATCTTGCTCAGGAAAATTAGTTTTGTAAGCGTCTACGACGGACGCAGCAAATTTGCCCGTACTAACAAGGGAGGTCTGTTCGGTCGATGTGGCCTTTTCACATGAAACTGATACGACTATAGCATCAAAAGCTGATTCCAAATCTGTCTTCGTTATCTGCCGAGCGCCTTTGTACGTCGAGTTATAAGCGTTTTTGAGTTGAAAAATTAAAGCATAATTAGAACAGAATTTGTCAGAGTTGCTCAAATGCTCCAATGTTGATTATTACGGCACTCCACTAAACAATACCTTCTGTCCAAAACACTCATACTCAACAGTGCTGTATTTGAGCGTTGAAAGATCGTAAAATTTGATTTTACCTAGATTATGCGTTCATTTTTCGCATAAAGAAAATGTTTATAATTCGGCATGCAGAGGCGCGCTCGCCAGATAATGAAATCAGATTTGGGATCACCGTTTAAGGCCCCAGACTTCACGCGATTTGATCGTCGCGACTCAATCGCCGACATTTTCCATTCAATTTCATTTCACATTCAAAAATTTCGGGCTGGAAAAGTATCACAACCGAAATGCAAGTTGATAGGAATGGAATGATGTCGTACAGTATGCCCCAATTTTAAACAGGCCAAAATCGGCATGGCGGGAGTCCGCGTCGCGAGGGTTTCGCGCCACTTCTTCGGCTAGCTAGTCTGCTCTCTCCTCAATCTCTTCGCTCTCTGCGACAGCGCGCGTGTGCAGCGCAAACCCCTAGCGCTGCGAGCGCGCAATTTCCGCCGATGGTTCGGCCTGATCCCGTTTGGGACAGACTATAACAGCTGTCTCGTCGCGATTCAGTCGCGACGATCAAATCGCGTGAAGTCTGTCCGGGACCTAATGCTCTTCAAAGTGGTGTTAGACTCATTCGGAAAGGCCACTTCGACTAATCAAACCTTTGTAAGTTGTTTTTCCCGTGATTTTCTTAGTTTCACCGCGAGGCATGGGAAACATTGCGTTAAAAAAGTTGGATTGTGTCACTTCCGTAAGAGAAGTCATAAAATACAAGAAAGATATCTGTGTGCTGATGATTGTAATCACAAGACTTTCATTCTGTACTATGACGTTAAAAGATTGCGAGTGTAAAAAATACTGATAACTTGATATAATACCTCAGGGACGCTAATTCTCGGAGCAAGTGTTGCAAAAATGTTTGAGTTACAGTAACCCATACCCTGGATAGCCTAAAGAGGGACTCAAAGCAAAGATCCTTTTAATCCCTGTTTTAAAAAGTGAAAGTTGTCTCTACAGAAGCTGGAAGAGAAAATGAAGTGAACCAACTGGAGAAAACATGAGGAACTATAGAAAAAGCGGATAAAACGCTGCATTAAATTTTGAAATCTCCGTTTTGGCAGAATTTCAAACCGCGGGTTTTCGCTTGGGATTCCCACTTTACAACTTATGGTGGAAATCTGATTTTGCTTTCGCGTATTGAAAAAAAAATCATTTGTAAGTGGCGATTACCTAAAATAGAAAGAACAGGGAAAAAATAGTTGCAAACGAAAAGTTTACAGTTATAAAGTCAAAATGTAGGTCAAAGCCAATCAAACTTTTGTTGCGTTTCGAACATTTACCCGTTTTGTAGTTTACGCTTCCGGCTTGTCCGGTCTGTCCTACCACTATTTAAAGCAAGAAATCCCCCTGGGTATGAAGAAAATATTTGCGTACAAAAGAGATTTATGAAGAGTGATGCACTTTTTACACTTTACCATAAAGAAGCCGGAACAATCGAAACAGTAAGCTCTTTACGTTGTTTGCAAAAGCAAGATCTATCGAATGCGAAAAAACTGTGAAAAGAAGTAAACTGATGAGGAAAGAAGGACTTTCGAAAACACTTTTTTTGCCACATTTCTGCACATCAAAAAATGGGGTTTAGCGACTCAGCGTGAACTATAGATCAAGAGCTACAAGATACACACTATATCAGGTTTGCCTTTGAAATAAAGGAGAGAAGGGTACTAGCGCGAAACGCTGGTGGAGCTGTGAAACTCAAGCGGAAGTCTTAGAGTAAGATTTTGAATAAACTCAGATTTTCAACTTCTATAAACGTTATGAAACCCAGACATGCTCCTATTTATAGTATATACACATACTTACATACTTACATGCACAGTTTGTATGGAACTTGAGCTTAAACAGGGAGAAAAATGAGATAACTCAAAAGTGGCAAACTCCTCCCCCCTCCCCCCTCCAAGCTTTGAGTTTTGCTCCACCCACTTGCTTAAAATTCACCCACAGGCAAGTGAGAGTACAGCTGCATTTTGCGCATGTACGTGCATTAAATTTCGAGAAACAATAGATTTAGTCTGAAAATGTCCGGGAACCCTCTTTCCAATCTAATAGTTGAAAGATCTGTGTGGTTGATTTCAAAACACTTTCTTATAAGCCTATCGCTTTAGTGAAGTTAGAGGCATTTCTCCAGTTATAAATTGCATGGTCAGGTACATTCTAGACCTAAATTCGTGATAAATGCTTTTTTGCCCCAAAGTTACATGCCTGAGTGTGTGAGATATATTTATCGTGGATAAAAAATGAATAGTTCTGAAGCTACGCTGCTACCTTAGGTCTGCAGTAAGCAAACAAATTTTAGTGTATTCGAAGACAAGCAAATGTTTGTAACTTTATTCAGTGAGTCCATAGGGTGATCATGATGTGCAAATTGATGGGAAAGGCCTTTACCCAGCTTGCAAGCTTGGAACAAATGGTTCCTATCATAGAATGACAAAGTGCATGAAAGATACAACAAGTCCAAACCACCAAGCCTAAGGAGATATCTTTGACATAGTCAAGTGTCGATTTCGCCACCTTTGATATGTCGGTGAAAGTGCAGGATTTCTGCAATTTTACAAGTCCTCGATTATGAACTACTTAGTTCAAAACTTAAAATAGCATTGAATGAGTGTCTGAAAAAATTCCCCCCCCCAAACACTTGAATTGCGGTTTAACTCACAAGCACGTTGTGAGAAATATTGAGAATGAAACTTTTTAGCTCACCTCAAACATTTTTTTTATTCAGGAGGATTCCTGTTCGGCTATGACACCGGAATCGTATCCGCAGCTATGATGTATGTGCCAGAGAACAAAAACCTCAAACCCATGGGATCAGTGTGGCAAGAGGTCATTGTGAGCATAACGCCAGGTTAGCTTGTTTCGTAGTTTCATTATATTGAAATTGAGGTCGAATGATTTTTCACAAAATAAGCGAAAAGAAGGAAACTAACAGTTTTGAAGAATACAAGCTGTAGCCAACCAGTCACTGCCACTGACTCAAAAAAAGCTTGCATGCTTTGATAGCACTTATTCCCCAATTTGCAGCCGTTCATGCAATATGATAACATCTGGATAACAATGTCACTCTAAAAATAATTTTATCAACAAAATTATTATGGTTTCGTTACTGACTTATTAGCTTCTTCATGGCGGACCTAAAGTGTTGGCAAAAGGTAAAGATAATTGTCAAATTTCATGCGACTTCGTCCTTCCAGAGAATTCCAAGCTATCCTGTCTTTTTGTCACCGCAATGAACTTTTTCATGCGGATTGTACGCAAATCATTACAAACCAACGGAAAGCTTTTGCGCAAATACTTTCTTTCCAAATACAGAATTGATAGCTCTCGTTTATGGCTAACAAGGGAAGGATAGTTGGATGCCGCGGCCATTCCTAATGATTTGTATACCAAAAAATGCGCCTTCGAATGCAGATTCTGAATCTGTGCTCGAAATCTGCGAAACGGTCTTTTGAAGAAAGTTATGAACTTTTTTCCTTGAAAATTTAGCCTACTTTTGGATAGTAAAAATCACGATTTGATCTAGCCTACCGTTTGATGCTACTGAAGAAAATTTTAGATGTAGTAATATTTATTTAGACTATCTGGATCATACTCAGCATTTGGAAAAGAGAAAATTTTTTATTGATGATTTTGACCCTCTGTCAGGAACGCAATTTTTTAATGAAAAAAAAATCATAACTCCATTCAGATTATCGTTTCGCAGATATGAAAGACAGTCTACGAACCAGCATTCAAAAGCGCATTTTTTGGTATACAAATCATTATGAATGGCTACGGCATCCAAGTATCCTTCCCCTGTAAGATGGCAAGTGGCAAGCACGTGCATACATTAGTTCACGTTGCATCACTCTCAAACATTGTCAAAATAATGTAAAAAAGTGCACACATCAAAACATACAACTGCAACTACATCTGCTCTTAAAGGTTTTGCCGCTGTTGGCTCCCTGCTTTCTGCTACTGGATCGGATCACTTTGGACGTAGAAAAGTTATAATCGCTGCCACATTCATCTTTACAGTAGGAGCCATAATTTGTGGAGCTGCGTGGACAAAAATAGTGCTCACTATTGGGAGGATACTTTTAGGTATAGCCATAGGTGAGTTCTTGCTTTTCTTCTTGAGCAATTGCAGTTTGTAAACGCAGTCTACTGAACAGGAAATAGTCAGAACAAGTAGAAAGCCTCACTAAATCTGAGGAATAACAACTCATTGAGAACTTACTTGACTTGCTCAGGATTTGCATCAATGATCGTGCCCATTTATGTGGGGGAAGCCTCTCCTTCAAATATCCGTGGTCGCTTGGTCACTGGCTTTCAGTTTATGATTACGGTCGGGCTGGTCACATCGAACATCATTGGAGGAGCATTCAGCTATGTGGATCCCGAGAACTGGGGATGGAGGTGAGTCTTGCTTCTTACTTCATCCTTTCCACTCACTCGACTTTCGGTGGTGGAAACTTGTGCACACATCCTAAATATTTTCATTCCAACGAGAAATTTTCTTCTCTTTTCTCTCTATCAAAGAGACACATCAAGCATCACCATCACGCGTGATATCAACGCCTCTGCGGACTTCTCAAAATAGCTATATAGTGTGTAAGGGAGCATTTTTCGTGCCTATGCGATCATAATGCATCTCATCATCAGTAATGCAATGTGCAGATTGTATGGGATCATGATTACAACTAAACTTTTCGTATTCCATTGCTTCACATGTTTTCGAGCAAAACATTTGGAGTTGATGCACAACAAACTTCTCCTATACATGCCATCTGAGCTGCCAAGAGTGCTTCGTGTTTAGCAACGCTGTCAAATACCAGCGACGGCGGCATAAATTTTCATGGAATTATTAGGTTGATGTAAAAATAATGGCCGTCTTGCAAATTCTCACATTGATGTGCTCTATTTCTTCAAAAAATGTACATTTCTGAATGCGATGAAGACCATCAGAAGCAGCAGACCTTCTGCAGTACAGCGCACAATCTATACTTTACATCGAGCAGAAGAATATGCTTGATAATCAAAAATAGCTTTTTTCCGAAACCTTATCTTATAAAAAGCTCCTTCATTCGTCTCGAATTTTGGCCGAAAAATGAATGCAACGAAATTTTAAATTTGGATGTGAGTATTTGAAGCTCTGTGCCTTTTTAACAAATGACACTGTAAGTCGCTTCAACCATCACTAGAAGAAGCATAAAGAGAGCTTCTCAATAGTATGGTGTTTCTGTTTCAAAGACTTTCGATCGGAAAAAAGTCGTCCTGAAAAAGGCTTGTAACGGACATTATTTTTGCATCAAACCATTATTTAGGAGGCAAAGAAAAGCTTTGCAAAACTTTCCAACATAACTCTGAACTTTTGGGTTAGGCGTCGTTTGCAAGCTAGTTTGATTTTATGCAAAATCGGCTGATTTTTGTACACTAAATATAAACAAGCTACCTGCCTGGTTTTGCAACTATGTAAGCCATTTACAAATTTCGAAGAAGGTCCCAAGCCCAGCCTGCGCCACTTTTCCGCCACTGCTACATGCCGCTGATTCCGTTCGGGTAATCTCAAAGGGATTCTAAAAGTGGGAAAATCTCGGATTTTTCCCAAGTGCTTGTTAGAGAAAGAAAATAACTTGCACCCACTTAATGCATGTGTTTCCGGTGAAAAATCAGTTGTAATTGGACTTCAAGAAAGTACGGGATCTCAGTTTCCGGATGCTCTGTTATTGCTTATCATGCTTCTTGCGCTCAACGTCGCTATAGTCACGCTAGAAAAAATCAACTTTGAAATTTCCATAGCACAAAGCTAGGCAGAAAAGTGATTGAAGTCCATTTCAGTTATTTCAGGAATTCTTATTTTTATCATTTAAAAAATTCTTCCCACGAGATTCTAGCAAAACATTGTGAAAACACTAAGGTATATGCAAAATTTGCGTGCAAAGGGGCGTTCTGACACTTCTTCGCTCATTGGGCGCTCTTCGGTGAAGTCTGACGGTACTTTAAAATGGTACCATGAAAATATGTTTTCAGTGTACCAAGCAAAGCAAAATATGGGAACACTTGAGCTAAAGCCTTTATTTTATATTCATACACTCTAGAGTGCGCCTATAAAAATCAAAACACAAACAAAACTTATTAGAACAATCAAAACGCGCACTTGTTACGGACTTACCTACAGCATACTCCTATACTAATGACAAAAGGACGGAAAGCAAGTGAATCTAACAGTTCATCTAGTGAGCCCAGTCCCTTGTGAAACCCCTATCAGGAATGCCACCATTCAGCGGGTAAAAATGAATAGACTAACAGCTGATTTTCGGAAGTTAAGTATCCTCCATCTTAACAATCAGCTGCTAGGCTCACTGCTTTGGAAGAAATAAAACGAGGAACAAGGGGTACAAGCTAGATAGAAGCAAACACGAGCAGTGGAGTGGGTTAGGCATATAATGAGACAAATGCATCATGAGACATAAATAAGCATAGGAAACAAAAAGCTATATCTATCAAACCGGCAGAAAAAAATTATGTGGCTGGGCACTGTTGTACCGTGCTATTTTGTTACTACCGCTACATTTGCGTGAGCTTTGACAAGAAATCATCCGGAATGTAAAGCATTTCTTTAAGTGCTGAGCAACTTTCCTTTTGTACAGGAAGTAACTATTGACTGTCATAGTTGTCAACCAACATTCGTTTTGAAAAGCACATCATTGTTAAAGTCACATTCAACATTTGACAAGACTCCCTGTCCAAGCAACTTATTTAGGCTTATGTTTGCATTCGCTGCAGTTCCATCCATAATCCAGTTCATCTGCTTCCTATTTCTACCAGAAAGCCCTCGCTGGTTGTATGAGCATAACTTCAAAGAAGAAACCGAACAGGCAAGCTGTAGCACATTAGCCTCGAAATGAAATTACAGAGAAAATCTGAGACATTGTGTGCAGAGGACATATGTATTAGGTTGAAGCAGAATTGCTGCTAGTTTCTCTGGATGACTCTAGGAACAACCATCTTCTACCAAATTTTCTTTCTTCGAAACAGATTACGCATATTTGTGACCTCTCTAACGGCAATCAGATCAGCTTCTGGACTCATTCATACAAAATTTTCTTTGACTGCACTACTTTTTTGATCAGCAAGCGTACCTAAATGCATTCTAGGATGATACAAAACATACAGAAAATGCAAAATGGATGTCCAAGCGTAGACTTTCGAAACCAAAAAACCTTTTCAATTGATTTGATAAACTTGAACTTACACGGTTTTAACACAATACAACCCACCGGTGGGTCGTACGTGTTCTGCCATTTCGGACAATACGACCCACCGGTGGGTCGTAAGATTGAAGCGCTATCTTTGCCAGTTTACGACGGAATTCTACGGGGTTCTAGCACATGATTGGGGGACCTAGGTGAAGCGGCTCCATTCAGAGTAGTCCGGGCTCGGGATACTGTAATGTAATGTTACGGTTGGTATACGGTAGATATATATAAGGCATAAGCTTTAGCTCAAATCCTTCGCAAAATGATGCTTTTTCTGGAGAATCAAGTTTACATGTAAGAGTAATACGGGGCGGGCAAGAGGCTGACGTTAACCCACCAAAAAATTATCGATTCTTTTGATTTTATTGGTTTTTTGCATTTTTCATCCTAGGAAGCGCGAACTTTGCATGTATAGGTTTTGTAGCGTGCTGATTACGAAAATGATAGTCTCAAATTTTGTTACCACCTTCTAACATCAGTTTCTTGATTTCTACGAAAATATTACCGCACTGCTATAGTCGTCCTCCCCCCACTATACACTCAGTGGACGAATTTGAATTTGAGCAGGAGCAAACGGCTAGCGTCAGAGCGCGGCAGACGCCGTCCCGGTCAAAGTGTGTGCATATGCTGTTTTCCATTTCTCTTTCTTTGTTGTTACTCGTACTCCGCACATATAGCACGGATATTGCCATACAGAACAAATATGTCGGATGCATCATCCAAATAACTCACCTATTCTTCTTGAAAAGATTCAGGTCTGAAAAAAAAAGCTTGGAGAGCACATTTGACTGAGAAATTGATTCACAGTTCACAAAAGCAACGCTTGTGCATGTGTTTTTTTTTACCGGAAGGGCGATAAGTGACATTCCATCAAAACATCACTGCGTCGTATTCCCAGCTTTACCTGAAAAAATGTAAGGCAAACGACAATGACAGCATGAAACAACGATCACCGGTAACAAAATCTCGAATCGGATATGATACATTGCCGCAATAAGAGTAACAACTAAGAAACACGGAGAGAAATGAAAAACAGCATATGCGCACACTCTGACTGGGGCGCGTCTGTCGCGCTCTGACGCTAGCGATTTGCTCCTGCTCAAATTCAAATTCGTCCACTGAGTGTCTAGTGGGGGGAGGACGACTATACCTTAGTCTCACCGTGAGAATGTGTGAACAGAGTGGTCACTATAATCGTGATCAGCACGTGAACTAACCCCAATACACAGATTTTCATGAAAATCCATGATGTTGGGTTCGTACAGAATGACTACCGTAACCCTACCGTATAACGCCAAAAACTGAAATAAATCATATTTTGGCAATCAGCGCGTTCGATAACCCTTGTGGGGAAATTCTCGGAGACATGTTCTGAACTTCTTCCAAAAAGACTACCATTTCGGACAATACGACCCATGGGTGGGTCGTATGTTTGGCAGAGCAAAAAAGGCTCCTGTCCGAAATGGCAGTAATCGAAAAATCGGCCTTGTCGTCAATGTGTTAAACAGAGCGGTTCCGAAGAATTGTAAGTAAACAAACAGGCGAACAAAGTGTGGTTGTACTTGATCTGTATACTTTATTTTTCAAGAAAATGATCTCTCTTACAATCTATGTGTTGTGAATTCCTTGCAAAGTGTAAGAGAAATTATTCGTGACAGAAAGCGGTCTCTTTCAAATCATACATCAGGGTTATCGAAAACATCTGATTTGGAGACCTTTGCAATCCTACCGGCGCTTTCAGGGTTTTGTTGAAGCACACTTGTTATTCAGGTCTTGAGAAAAATCTATAATGGCAACGAGGAATGGGTAAAATACGAGTTGGGTGAAATCAGTTATGCATGTAAGATGGAACAGCTTGCAAAGGAGGAAAGCGGCAGTGAGTCGAATTTACTCTGCGCGTAATCCTCACTCCTCACTCTGGAAAATGTTTTTTAAACAAATACTGACAAACTATGGAGATTATATCATGCGGTTTAATGACTATATTGCAGTCCAAGAAGGTTCTTCGGTAGTGTTGCGAATATTGCGCACCCCACATGTTCGAAAAGCGCTCTTGATTGGAAGCCTTCTTCAAGCGTTCCAACAATTATCTGGAATCAATACCGTCATGTAAGATTTCGAGAATGATGGTTACGAGCTTGGGGGTAACTTGCTTTAATAATCAACAACGATCTTAATGAGGGACAAAAGCGATGATTTTTCAACAGCTACCGCTTAAGTTGATTGTGCTCATGAAGTTCTTTTCTCCAGGTACTACACAGCGAGCATTATTCGATCTGCAGGAGTGACTAACACGCATACAACTATATGGATCTCTGTCGGCACAGCCGGTAATTTCTTTACGAGGTTTACTTCTCCCGGCATAAAAATCGTTCAGCAATCAACGTCATTGGAACATTTATCCCAATAGCTCTTGTAGAGCGGATGGGACGACGGATTCTTTTTATGATCTCAATCACTGGTGTCATTATAGCGTTGTTGTTAATGGGAACTGCTTTCGTTCTCATCAACAAGGTTGGTTTGACATTTCAAGAATCGAACTCGTCTCTCAGAAGTGTTTCACGTGCTTATTAGCTAAGGAAGTTAAATTGCATATCGGAGCAGTCCGTAGCGGAGCAGTCCATAGTCTCTGTTGCAGCCACTGCGCAGCACATCATCATCTTCTCAGAACATTAAAATCAAAAATTTTAAGCTTCAATATCTTCAAAGTGTGGTTTTTAGACCGCTTGAGTGGTCCCATCATTGATTCTTTGTTTGTTAGGGACCCGTCATACTTCGCCGAAAAAGCCAAAAAAAGCCCGAAAAAGCCCAAAAAATCCGAAAAAGTGAAAGAGCCGGAGCAGAAATGAAATCATGGTAGAAATCTGAAGTTATTTTGATGTACAAACGACAGAAAATGAAGCAAAAAGACTCTATTGCGAAATCAAGACCATGCCTTAGCGTCATAACGGAAGGGGACGTTCCGGCTCTTTCTGGCGCTTTTGGGCTTTTTTGAGCCTTTTTGGGTTTTCTCGGGCTCTTTCGGACGCTTTTGATCTTTTTTCGGCGAAGTATGACGGGTCTCTTAGAAACCTCGCCAAGGTGAAAATACTTGGCCGGTTGTAATCTGGTCGAAACTCCGAGTTCAAAGCTGCGCGTTAACTCGAAGTTGACTCTAATAAGAGAACGATCCCAACTCAAGGTGGCCAACTGGAATGAACCGCATATCATTAGATGCGTCTTGGTGAGCTGATTCCAAATCCATCTTCATCTGCGATGCCGTTCTTTGAAAAACTTATAAACGTTCGAATGTCCAAATGTGGCAAACGTTCAGCGCCACATCCACAAGGACTAGTTGTTCAAAAACACTTACCTGTGCTTCCGATAAATGTAAGCATCTCTTGCACACAGTATGCTTATCTTGCTGGTTATGCATATTCAAGTTGGATTACAGCACGTCAGACATTAGAGCTCTAGCGACTCACCCATTTGAATGCGTCACTAGATTTCTAACACATGATAAGCTCTAAACAGACTTGGAAGTGCATGACTAGAAAGATATTGAGTGTACCGATTTCAAGAATTGCTCACATTTACCGCAAGCACAGTGTTTTGGAACATAGTTCTTGGCGCTGAATGTTTGGCGCTGAATGTTTGCCAGTTTCTGACATTTGAACGCTTATAATTTATTTCCAGAGAACGGTATCGCAGAAGATAGATTCGGAATCACCTAATCACGATGCAGCTAAAGATTTGCGGTTCATTCCAATTGGCCACCTTAACTCGGGATCGTTCCTTGTTAAGTTTTGTTTTGAAATTCCGTGTTACCTGCGAGTTTTGTCTCTCAAACTACGAGCTTGAGGAGCAGCCGTACGCACCACCGCAAAGCGCTCCGACTAGCGCGGAACTCGAATTCCCGTATTTCCGCGTAAAGTGCGTACTACGGGTGTAGGACGATTCGCACGACCGTAATGCTTTCCGCTCAGGACCATCGCCGCGCGCGATACACCCTGCGGCGGCTTTTGCCTAAGCAAAACAGGGGGAGGAAACATTTGCGGCGTGCATTACATGTTAAGACAAGTCAAAATCAGGGAGACTCTAGAGACCGCCCGTGCGAAAAGACCGCCTCCCGCGTACTACTTTTGGTGCCGTTTGCTGTTATGAATTCCCTTTACAAATCCCCACATGTCAAACATGTCGAAAACCGTTTGGGCATGCCCCTAAGGTCTAACAAGAGAAGGATACCAACATTAGTCGGCGATTGAAGATGAGATGTATATCAGTAGGCGCGCCTTTAAACGCTGATTTCAAATCTTTTTTTGCGGAGTAAGTTCCCGAAAAAAGTTGTGGGCGTTCGAATGTCCAAATTTGTTAGGGTTTAGGTGGCCTAAAATTGGCGAAAAGCTGTACAAAAACACCAGAAAGTGGAAAATCATTTTTGTATCAAGTATATTGTTTGCAAGAAAGGAACAAAGCCGGTGGAAATCGCATAGTTGTTGTTTTAGAACTTTTCGCCAATTTTAGACTACCTAAACCTTGGCGAATTTGAACTTACAGACGCTCATAACTTATTTCGAAAACTTGTTCCGCAAAAAAATGCAGATTTGGAATCAGCGTTCAAAGACGCATCTAATAGTATACATCTCATCTTCAATTGCCAACTAATGTTGGTATCCTTCACGTAAGCACTAGAGTGATCCCCACTCTAACAATAAGCTAAAAGCTAACGAAAGAAAATGAAAATCAAGAACGCTAAGTGTTAAATTAATGAAGCGAAGGTGATAGCTGAATGATAATCATTAACCATGCAATGTAGATATGTAGATGGCATGCTACAAACTTTTGGAATTAAGTTCGTTTTCTAAGGGTTGCTTCACTGCAGCCGCTTGAAGGCAGCGTAAGGAAGAGATCTGTACACATGCGGATCGCACATGTAGACTGATTTGGGGGGTCTAACTAAGATGCTGCCCAAGCGGCAGCACAGGTGGTGCACATGCGGCTTAGATACTCGTTAGCAAACCAGACCCCGATGCCTTACAATACCGCTCACATTTTTTGAAAAATAGACGCGAATGTATGGACATGTATGGACATGTCCGTACATGTCCATACATGTATGGACATGTCCATACATCAGCGTCGTGTGGCCATATCTCGCTTCAAAGTGGACGAATTCTGAATTCAAAGCCACCATTCGATTCAGCTCGGCGCGGAGAATCTTCTGATATATTGGAAGTGGGGGACGATGTCTTCGATATTCCGTTTCCAGTTTTTTCAATATGTTCTGAGGTCTTTTCGCGAATATGTGAAGCAACGCCTACCCAACATAGAAGACTTTACTAAAAACTATTCGATAATACTGTTCTTGTAGATTATTGTGCGCTAAAAAATAGGCTCAGACTTCTTTCCAAAGGAGATAGAAGCGTTGGTGAATTTTGGGAAAACCACGCGTTTCTAAATTCTACTCGCCATAACTTCCTTCGGAATAAGTATATTTTGAATCTGAAAGCAGCATGCTCAGCTCATCAAGGCAAATGTTCTATATACAGCATGTCCTTGATATTTCGATTTCAGTATTCTTGAATCTTTCTGAGGACGTCTTTTCGCGAAGGTGTAGAGCTAGGAGCATTGTCCCGAGTACATTCCAGCAGGGACCATTTGATAATACTTTTTCTGTAGATTATGATGCGCTAAATAATAGCCGCAGATTTCCTTTCAAAGAAAATAGAACGTCTGGTGAATCGTGGAAAAATCTTGTCGTTTCAAATTCTACTCGTCATAACCTTAGAATACGGAGCTGTCTTGCTAAGCAGATGTGATTATCGTAGTCAGCAGGTCGGATAACCTCTATGAGCAAGTTTTCCGAGATGTTCGGGTTACTTCAGTTTTTCCCGTTTTAGGCTCTGGAAGCTAGCCGATGGATTTTGATCAAAATGTTGATACTTCTGAATTGTAAAGAGACTTCGCTTGTAGAGGTTTTCGAAAACGCTCTTTACGACAATCGTGGTCTCTAAGGATTACAAGGTCTTTTTGGAGCGACACGGTGAGGTAACTGTAACTATTAGGGTGATCACTGAAAAATGGGGCGCCTAGAGAATAAATGTAGATCTCTCAAAAAAGAAAAATGATAAACTTCCCAATTTTGATAGATGTTAGAATAGATTATTCTCTTTCAGAAAATACCTATATAAGGTCATTTACATAACTAATAATTTTTATAGTGGCTGAAATTGCAAAGTTAGTCACTTTGACAAATTATAAACTTCGAGCAGTATCTGCGCAGTGAAACATGCGAAACTATCCAAAGCACCACTGCTGGAGTGGATGGCGGGACAGTCACTGAACCGACGACGGCTTGATGGCCTCAACTTTCAGAGTCAGGAGATATGGCCATTGGCAGCTTCGTGAACAAAGATACGCGTTATTCAATTCTTTGCAGGTGAACACATGTTCTATAGGTACCGTCTGAAAGAGCTTTTTATGCTCTATCCATCCATATGCAATTTACCTCACATTTCATCTATCTTCGGAAAATACAGATTGAAACTTGATTTACTGGTTTTTGTTGCGCCAAAAAATCGCGATTTTCCAGGTATTTCGCTTTTTTACCCGGAAATAGAAAGAAATTCTGTATGTTTCGTATACTGTTTGAAAGAGTATGAACAGCTCTTTCAAATGATATATCAATTGCTCTATAACTTTGCGTATGGCAGCGCAAGAATGAGCGAGGTTCAAAAAACCCTAGTCGAGTTTTTCAGGACGCCACGCGTAGGGTTGTGGGAAAGGAGCGTTGACGTTTCAGCGAAAGTCGCTTATATAAGCGACGTTTGAGTTGCAGCCTGCTTGTTGTTGATCGAAACAAAAAATCTCAAAATTTGACAAAAATCAAGCTGTCATATTTTTTAGTGATCACCCTAATAAACCACGAAAGCTCGTAAATTCGCCTGCACCTCTCGCGTACCTGTCAAAAACCTATTAACTGCTTATAAAGGTTAAAGTAACTAGGAAGTGTGCCATCGAACGGTGCATGTCCCAAGCTCCTGTCTATAGAAATCGCCGAGTTACGAGCCTACGAAAACACGTCCTCATTTTTGCCCAAAATGTAAAGATCGCATATTTCGTCGAAATTTCTCCGTGAGCGCTTGTACAACGCGCTGATCAAATCCTTGCACATTTTTGATGGATCTTATTGTGTTGGATTTGGTGCTCTGAGCTCTAGCCACGAAATAGCTTTGATATTTAATTGAGCAGCTGAAGCAGACGCAAGCACCATATTCAGTACAGTGGGAGTCGTTCGACGAAGCGAACATAATATTTGCAACGAGCGTCATACCAGCGCTCACGGAGGAATTTCGACGAAATATGCGATCTTTACATTTTGGGCAAAATTCATGAGGACGTGTTTTCGTAGGCTCGTAACTCGGCGAATTTCACAGACTGGAGCCTGAGTAATGCATTATTCGATAGCACAGTTCCTAGTAACTTTGGCTGAGAAAAACAAGCAGGCAAGGTTTCTGACAGATACGCGAGAAGTGCGGCCAATACGCACTTTCGTGATGCAGTTACAGTCACCTCACCGTGCCTCTCCAAAAAGACCCTGTGATCCTCAAAGACCACGATTTTCGTAAAGAGCGTGTTCGAAAACCTCTATAAGCGAAGTTTCCTTACAATTCAGGAGCATCAACATTTTGACCAAAATCCATCGGCGAGCTTCTGGAGCGTAAAACGAGTAAAAATGGAATAACCCGAACATCTCGGAAAACTTGCTCATAGAGGTTATCCGACCTGCTGATTACGATAATCACATCTGCTTAGCAAGACAGCTCCGTATTCTAGGGTTATGACGAGTAGAATTTGGGACGACAAGATTTTTCCACAATTCACCAGCCGTTCTATTTCCTTTGAAAAGAAAGCTGCGGCTACTATTTAGTACATCATAATCTACGGAAGAAGTGCTATCGAAAGGTCCTTGCTGGAATGCACTCGGGACAATGCTTGCTGCTTTGCACCTTCGCGAAAAGACGTCAAGAATATTGTAATCGAAATATCAAGGACATGCTGTATACAGAAGATTTGCCTTGATGAGCTGAGCAAGGTGCTGCTTTCGGATTAAAAATATACTTATTCCGAAGGAAGTTATGGCGAGTAGAATTTAAAACGCGTGATTTTTCCAAAATTCACCAAAGCTTCTATCTCCTTTGGAAAGAAGTCTGAGCCTATTTTTAGCGCACAATAAAACTGGAAACGGAATATCGAAGACATCGTACTTCCACTTCCAAGATATCAGAAGATTCTCCGCACCGAGCTGAATCGAATGGTGGCTTTGGATTCAGAATTCGTCCACTCTGAAGCGAGATATGGCCACGCGACGCTGTTGTATGGACATGTCCATGCATGTATGGACATGTCCGTACATGTCCATACATGTCCATACATTCGCGTCTATTTTTCAAAAAAAGTGAGTGGTATTGTATTTGGGGAAGGACTGCCTCGGGCTGCTTGCCATTGCGTGCGGACCCGCCGCCCACGTGCTGGGTCCCCGCGCAAAATCCTGCAAGTCGAGGTAAGTGGTCCGCTGAGTACGGTACTGGGGACACATGCATGGACGCTGCCGCCTTTGAGAAGGGACAGCCGATTGATCGATATCTATTGCTTGCCCAATATGACTTTGACTCTAAGGATAAGTTAAGTGTAGCTTTTGCCCGCCAACGTATACCAGGGGAAAGGGAACGGGCGGCGGGAAAACTTCGGAAGTTGGCTCGCTATAAATTTGTGCAAATGACTTGTTTCTCCCTGTAAATGGCAAACTCATTCTCAGAAATTCAAGAAGAAATTAACTTTGAAATATTTTTAAAGGGATTTGATGCCGATAAGCCTCCTTTCTCAAAGAAACCTACTCGCATGCGGTCCCGCCGTGAAGAATGGGTATTAGTGAACAGGGCACCAAATAACCCTTCTTTAATAGGTCTTAGTATTGAGAAGTGACAGCGTATTTCTAATCAGCATGCTTAGAGGCGCCGTTCACCTTAAAGGCAGTGGCAAGGCAACTCGATTTTGAGATTTTGTGCTTACTTGGACCTATTCGCTACGCTGAATCCGAAAATGCACATTGTAGAGCGCGAAAATGGCGAAAAACGGTTCTAACACAGGAGGGAAATGAGCAGGTAGGCGGGGACCTCCCCACTGCGAATTCACGTTCCCCTTTCTCGCTTCCGGTTTCAAGTCAGTCATTCGCACTTGGCTGGTGGCGATGTTAGAACGGCTAGCGGAATCGAGAAAATTGCTCTGGAAGCTGGAAGCGTGAATTCACAGTGGGGAAGACCCCGCCCACCTGCTGATTTTCCCCCTATATTAGAGCCCTTTTTCGCCGTTTTTGCGCTTTCCAATGTGGATTTTCGGATTCAGCATGGCGGATAGGCCTGTATAAGCACAAAATCTCAAAATCGAGTTTTTGCCCGGACACTGCCTTTAAGTCGAGGGTTTGAGCTTTTTTGCAGCTTACGATAGTAAGTCTCTCTATCAAGCCAATGACCATCGCGGCTCAAACTGCCGCTTTGGAAGCCAGGAAATTGGTTCGGATTAGCGAAAAGGCACGAGAACCCCAAGTCGACACCACCCCCTCCAGTAATGCCCACCCATCCCTGCGCGCCCATCCAATCACCGCTTCGAAGAACCGGCCTGCCGTTTTCCGGAACGGGAATTCGGGTTCTTCGCAGATTCTTCATTGCACCGTCCACCCAAAACCGCGACCTCCATGCTTGTGCCGTTCCAAGTCCTTCTCACACCCCTAATTCCGAACATCGAGTCGGATATCCACGAAAACCACGAAAAATCCCGTTTTCAGAACCCACAGAGCAATTTCTTGGGAACGGTGATTGGTCAGGTACGTGCAAATGAGCGGGACAAACGTCACGCCTACCCGAAAGGGGAGGAACCAACGTCGCGACCATCTTCTGAAGCGATTTCGGAAGCAATTTCCCCGCTTCGGAAGCAACTTTAGGCAGCGCCAGTTGGGCAATCATACAGTTAGGGGCCCCGCAGCTGCTAGGTACCACAATCTCACCAACCCCAATCTGAGGGACGATGCCTCCAAGAACCCCCCAGACATAGTTTTGAGTAAGTTTCGAACCTTGAGAAATCTACCTTAACAACCGCCGTAACTTGCTCGTAAATGTTTATTTTTAAATGAATATCGTATTCGTGATCCACACACGGGTGGAGAAACGAACACCTCAATTAGGTACCGCCTCGGCGGTCTGCTGGTCCTTTCGTCCTACTGTTGTGCATCGTGTTGGGACCAGTAGTCCGCGGAGGCGGTGCCTAATTGAGGTGTTCGTTCCTCCACCCTCCACCACACAGAATAACTCCACCGATCCAAGTTTTACACAATTATAACTTTGACCTTTTAACGAATACTTACCGTAACGGCTGTAAGGGCGCGTAGTAATAGGCAATATATTCATGATCAAATCTCCGAATAATCCCACTGAACCAATTTTGAGTCCATAATGTGATTTTGACCTGAATACCATAATTACCATAAACCTGTTACACAGACGCGCAGCGAAAAAGAACCTACCATATTGGTGATTATAGTCAATTTAACTCCGGCATATGGACTGCAGACAAAAATTAATACTATATTCGTGATTCACAGGCCAAATCCCATCGTACCAGTTTTTAAGCGATTTCTTTATTTTTGCTCAGCTACCATACACAACACCTCGTCAGAAGGACCCGCAGCCACAAATGAGTACTACAATTGTGACTAACGTGCAGAATAACCCCTGAACCAAATTTACGAAGTTACAAAATTTGGTTCAGGCAGCATCACGATCCTTGTCATGCTTGCTGAAATTACGAGCATACTCCGGAAGACTTTTTAGCTGTTTATCTTCATATGCGCACTATTCCTCTTTCTCTGAACAAACTAGCAGTTAAGTCTGAGTTTCACGGACGCCTCAAAGCGCATCAAACTCGGACTCAAGCTACGGCACGAAACACACAGCTGAGCTGTGTGTTTCGTGCCGTAGTTTCTTGTGTAAAAAGACATGTTATGTTTCCTTACTTAAGATATACTTTTTTAATAGAGTATCCTGCCATATCGTCGTTTCCCAAACTCTTATTCAAGCAGCTGTTAGGGGGTAGAAGGCCCGTATGCACGTACATCCCGCTGGGGAGGGGAAAGGATCTAGAGGGGATGCGTCATATATCGCTACTCTAGATATTTTTCTTCTTCCTTCTCTATCTTGCTTATGAAGGTGTTCATACCCTTATACCTGCGCATAGTGGGTGCCAGGTCACTGCCATACAAAACTGCTTTCTTGCACTTTGTGTGATGAAGATAATGAATTGAATTTGTGAATTTTTCGATAATTCAGAGTTCGCGAGCAGTGATTCATCGAAGATTTCGATATCCTTTCGACTATAAACATTTTTAGCAGTGCCGTAATATATCTTCACTACAATTCTGCAGCATTTTTATTGACTTCTCAGGAAGATAAATGACTTTGAAAATGAGAGGTGATCCCTTGGAGATCCCCTGGGGATCCTCTGGGGATCGCACAAAATGGCGAAAACCAATCTTTTGTGGCAGTAACCTGGCAGCCACTATGCGCAGGTATAAGGGTATGAGAACCTTCATAAGCAAGATTGAGAAAGAAGAAGAAAGATATGTAGGGTAGTGAGATAGCATCTCCTTTCAGATCTCCTCCCCTCCCAGCGGGGATGTACGTGCAAACGGTACCTGAATGGTGCGCGTTAAGTCAGAGTCAACTTCGAATTCACTTTGAGTTTGAGCTGCGCGTTTCGACCACTTTGCTACTACTACCGACCTTGCATCTCTCACTTTTTGAGAAATGAGGTGAGAGCAATCAATGAGAACATTGGCAATAAGCAATTCTTCAACTCCTCCTTTGAAATGTGGTTAATGGCCGGGAGCTTGTTGTCGATGACTTTTGAAGCTGGAAAGAATGGCTTGAGTACTGGGCGAAAGTCGCACTGCCCTAGGCAAAAATAATTGGTTCTACAGGATTCAGCTGTGGCTCTTCAAAATGTTACCTTTGACGATCCTTCACACTCAAGTGTACAGAAGCGTTGTCAAGAATACAGGTAGGTGTTGCAGTTTTAGTTATTTAAATTACTTCAAATTGGAGCACATACTTTAAGCAATTGCGACTTTTGTGTGACAAACGAACATTGCGGTTTTTGCGCAATTAAGGGATCAGATGCAGGTGCGTTTTTTAATTGGCTTCAAAAGGACAACTTGAAAGTGGCAGAGTGTTTCAGCTAATATAAAGCAAATGAAGAAATATGATTAGAAATACATTTTGAATAATGTTTTACGGAAATTTGCTTTTAAGGGTACTGTCTTCAGAAAGCTGAAAAAGACCCCGCTTCCGTCGTAGGTCCTTGTAAGGAAGGGAGTAGTGAGTTTTGTTTTTAGGTAGAACGCGATTCTCCTTTGCAAGTATAGGTTCAATTTATTGCAGGCCCGGTTTATGAATGGGATGAGAATTCGTGCAAAACAAAGTATACGATTGCTCCCATTATTATCATGGTCTTCTACCTGCTCTCGTTCGCTAGCGGTAAGCTTCAGTGTTAGATTCCCAGTAACTACCAGTTTATTTTAGGATATGCTCCATTGCCATGGGTAGTAAACGCGGAGTTTTACCCACTCTGGGCAAGGAGTACTTGTGTGTCGGTGTCCACCGCATGTAATTGGATCTTCAATCTAATCATCTCACTTACATTCCTCTCACTTAGTCAAGCCTTGACGAAATATGGTACGTTTTCGGTTACTTTTACGCTTCGTGCTTATCGTACAAGAGCATTACTCCAGCTTATCTGATTATCACGAAAAGGGTAGCGCCTGCTTACCCATTTCAAAAAGCAAAACACGAAAGTGTTACAGTTTGAATGTATATCTCCAAAATCAATTATGTGAGTGAAATGGAGTAATTTCACGAAATATCTTCTTTTATGTATAATTTTGTTGGATGCATCTCAAAAACAATCGCGGATTATTTGGTGTGTTCGTAAATTCATCTTCTTTTGAACTATTGATAATTACTGGGCAAACATTTTTCTATGACATTCCAGATGATATTACTGATATAGAGCGTGGAGGAGTTAAGAGGAACGCACAGGCTACAGGAAACTCGATATGAACAGATCTTGATGAACATTCATTCCAGGCACATTCTACTTATACGCTGGTTTTACAATTGTGGCTTTTTGCTTTGTCTACTTCTTCCTTCCGGAAACTCGTGGTTATTCTATCGACGAGGTGGAAATGTTATTTATGACGAAAAAAGCCAGACAACGTGCACTTATGAAGAAAGAAAAGACGGCAGCAGAAGAAAAAAAATCAAATATCTCGGTTATAAGTGTCGACGATGGATACGATGTAGCCAAATGATTATGTTGTATATAGATATAGCTTTAATTTCTGCAATGTTTGCACCACGAACACTACTATAAGACTATCAACATAAATGATTATGTTGATGTATTGCATCATCACTTGAACACAGTAACTTTGGGAAAATCACGTTAACTTGTATAGGCTGCTGCATGACGAAGGCGCAATATCCTTGGGCGCAAAAACGCGGCTTTAGCCGCAGAGCGCTTGAGGCGCAGGATTTGCAACGGTAAGGATACGCGCGCGTCGAATTCCCCGCTAACTAATACTGCTGCTGAACCTTATCATGCAGTTGCCTTTACATTCAACAAATTTTTGTGCTTTCTTTGACCGTAAAAAGGTTGACTCGCTTTCACTGCTGTGTCAATAACCAAAGTGGGCGTATGCCCTTCCACACTGCTCCCTCTTAGTGCTTAATTATTCTTCCACCAGGACAGCGCTAGTACTCTGCCTTTCTTATATAGCAGTTTCCAGATATCTTGAGTATTTCAAAGCAAGTTAGCGCACATTTTTGAACATTAGACACGTTTTTCTACCTACGAAGGCAAGCATTTGAGGAAGTTGAATTTACTCGCTATTTCGTGATTCTTCCCCTTTCCAGCCCTTCGAACCACTGCAAAAACTGCACCCTAGCCTAAAAAAATTGAAGCTGCCCACGTGTGACATTTTTTGAGTTTCATATAAAACTAGATGTTTTGATTCTTTTCTTTGAGAGACTCTTTTGCCTAACACCTCCAATTTAGAGCTCTTGTGTCTCCATCAAAAGCCTAGCTCCTTCGCGACAGTGCCAATCAGAGGCGCGCAGTAATCAGGCTGCCAAGGTTAGCGGTGCAGAAGGGCTGTGGAGCGCGTGATCGCTAATAACTCTCCTGTCCAAATAGCTTTTGCGAACCACCAGGCACCATTTTGCAATGCTGGTTCCAGCATAGATATGAAACCGAAAATGAATATCAAGTTTTGTGTATGTCTATGTATATATGTCTTATGTTTTGTCTGTATATGTCTTATGTTTGAACCTAAGCATGTTTTTTTGGTGATAAGCTCAAATTATTTTGCTGTGCTCTACAGGTTAGTACGGTGATACAACATTGCTACTCGATGTTTCGGCAGATCGCCGTCTTCAGAGGCTGAAGAGGGTCAGTTAAGTGAGATCCGTTCTTAGCCGCTAATTATCTCCTTAATTTTGTCATTTTATTCGTCGGTAAAAATGGCGAGTTCGTGGTGAGGAGTGCGTAAGCGATACCCGGGCAGCCGACTGCTGCGGCAGCCAGCCGCCGGAATTGCCGGCAAGACTGCTGCAAATGGTACAGTGACTACGCTTGTCACCTAGAACTCTTGCGAAGAGGTTTTCTTGCACCTCGTCGCTCTGAGGTACGATATCAGCCGCAGGGATAGCATGATTGACATCTACATCATTTTAGAAACGGCAAAAAATTCATAACTTGAGAACCATGCAAATTATAAAAGCTATGCAGAGAAGAGTTTTTCTAGAGGAAATTGCTCATAAAATAGATTGCTTTGACTACTGAAAATTTCTAGAAGCTGAAAAATTCAGAAAATCTTTCGTTTCCGGAAAACCATTTTTTTCGCTTCTAGCATCGAATAACGGACGAAGACATTTACAGCAGTAAGGATATAACAGTAAGATTAGTCTGTCAAAAATTGATTTCATTATTTAGCGATGTTAAGCGAGCTAAATAAACTAGTGGTTGGTCAGCGATAAAGGTGAAAGCCACTTATGCTGCATGAAAAGAAACACCGTACATAACCTGCGCAATATTTCATTGGTCCGGGCAGTACTATCGGCAGATCAAGGGCTTGTCATGGGACAACGCTTAGCACCGGTGTTGGCTGTTACCTTCATGTCAAAAGTAGAACATCCAGTTTTATGCCGCACACCTACTCTTTACTGTCGTTACATCGATGACTGCCTCATCATGTGTTTGACCTAAGCAGAAATGGATACCTGTCTCGACCTACTCAACAGTCAATCAGCTGATGTAAGGTTCACCAAGGAAAAACCAAAAGATGGCTGGCTTCCATTTCGAAACGTTCATTAACATACAATACCGCTCATAATTCGTCAAAAAAGTCGCCGGACTGCGGCGCACTCCGCCACACTCTGCCACACTCCGCGCACTGTGGCAGAGTGTGGCGGAGTGCGCCGCAGTCCGGCGACTTTTTTGACGAATTATGAGCGGTATTGTATGAGCAAAGCGGAGCGTAAGACTGATGCAGGAAACCAAGCAGCAAGAACATACTCATACATCACTCTTCTGCGCATCCAGTACGCACAAAGCCCAAGCGTTATTAGAAACATGTTGTGAACGGCGCAGTGTCATCAATGACCATCTCAGTGCTGCGCGGTTCAAAAGACTATTCAGATAGCGCAGGCAAATGGATATTCTCCATGTAAGAGCGCAGCAGTACGTTGCAGCGGCAGGCTGCTTGGTAATTCCCCTGAAAAGAAGGATAAGGTACCATTCTGCATTCCGTTCTTATCGGATGGGTTTAGTAGCGAAATCAGAGCGTGCGTGCGAAAATCAGGCTTGCAGGACTCGCACGAGTAGTTGAAGTTCCCCCTCCTAATCTCAGGCAACGTATGGTTCGCAACACAGCGTACGACAAACCTGTGAAACAAGGGACTGCATCATCTGCACTGCCAACAGGCCTGGGATTGTATGTGCTCTGGCATGATATACCTGATTACATGCAAGTTATGCGGGGCTGAGTATATAGGAGAAACAGGAAGACCACTGTGCCTGCGGATAAAAGAACACTTGGACGGGTTGCGCAAATCAAAGCTCTCAACACCCTAGGCACGCATCGTTAGCTGCAGCACCACAACACAGAATTCGACGTCTCAGTGTCAATTCTGTCTAGAGAAACAGAGGTTGCGGCAGTCAAAACCCTAGAGGCCTGCTAGCTCTCGAATAGAAATCCGCAGATGAACAGAAAAGACGAGTGCATTGCCATAACTAATGAGCTACCGCCGTTCCTTGACTTATGCGGGTTGATCTACTACCTCCAAGTCAAGAACCCTATTTCACTCAGTCATTGCATGTCACTCGGTGGTGGGTGGTTCTCGACCTCAAGTTTAAGGTGAGCTGTTTGACCTAGATGTCGTTTCCTACATCTTTTTGTCTTTTTCCTGCAAGATGACAAGGCCTTTAGGCGAGTAGATTTTATATGTTACTCACTTAGGCTCTGACGAAGGCGGGTTGGCCGAAACGTTAGCGTAATAAACGTTATACCAATCTTGGTGAAGGCTCAGACATTTCAGAAGGATTTCAAATTCTGGAATGCCCATGGAAAAGTGAGCTCAATTTCCTGATCATTCACTTTATTGAGTGTTTCTAATTTTTTGGTAAGTTTCCAGTATAGTTTTGTATTCGATTGAATGGTTCAAAAAATTAAATTTTTTCTGGTCAAAACGATAAAGATATTGAGGATTTCATACTATCCTTGAAGCTGGTAACCTCAACTCGACGAGATGCGAGGAAACCTCTCGGCAAGAGTTTAGATGACGAGCGTAGTTACTGTACCATTTGCAGCAGTCTTGCTGACAATTCCGGCGGTTGGCTGCGTCGTCCGGGTACCACTTGCACGCTTCCTCGTGAGGAGCTGTTAACCCACCAAGGTACACCGGTAGCTTAGCCACTCGAGATAAATTGACTGTTGCAGTGAAAGCGACATATGAACAGCTGACCATATACTGCTTAGTTACGGGCAAAATACGACACTAATTCATCGTGTAGATAATTCATTCTCACTGTTTAATTTCGGATCCCGGGCAAGAATGTACGTTGCCTCTGAGGCATAAATCTGATGTTAAATGTCTGTTCTTTGTTCAGCAGAACCTTTCGGAGAAGCGGAACTACTATTAGGTTTCATGTACTGACAAGGGAAGGACAGTGGCGTACCGAGGGAGGGGCGGGGGGGGCGCCCCTCCCCCTCCCCGAAAACGGGTCGCGAAATTTTTGAAAGTTGCTTACATGAGGTATAAAATTGTGCAAATGACTTGTTCATACGTAAATAATTAAAATATTTTTTAAAATTTTTTAAAAATTCAAATTAGCCTTATAAAAATTTTTTTTCGAGGGCGTGGCTGACGCCATGCCCCCTTTTTCTAGATTTTCGGGGTTATGAGGCCGGGAGAATTTTTGAAGCCACCCCTAAAATTTTTTCGGAGGGGTGAGTTGAAAGCGAGTTGAGGCGCTAGAACAACGCGTCAGTGGCGCAGTGGCAAAACAGCGGACTGGGAGGCAGATGGTCGAGGGTTTGAGTCCTGTTGCGACTACTTTGTTTTGCAGTTCTGTAAAAAGCTTATTGGGTGACAGTAAACGAATAATACTCATTTCTAGGCAGTTGAAACAAGCTATTTACTGCAAAAAAGCCACTATTTCTACAATAAACTATAATCTTCTACAATATGTAAATCTGTGGAGTTATGATGTCACGACAATGGATTCAAATGATGTATTAACATGTGGAATACAACCATAAAATGCTCAAAGCGGAAGAGCTTCTCGCAGCGCGCACATAAACGATGACAGTCAGCAGCTTCACATTTGCCTATCAAAGTCGGTGAAAAACAGTACTGAATAGGAGACTCAAATTCGCCGGGGTGGTTATCAATGTATGCGGCTGCATGCCATGGGTATGAAAGGGAATTTTTGAATCGCGGCGAGCAAAACTGTGTGTAATTGAGCCATAAAATCATAAGAATGGAACCCTATGATGCAAGTGCGCGCGCTGCTTTGAGCATTTTGTGGTTGTATTCCACATGTTAATATATCATTTGAAACTATTGTCGATCATAACCTCCACAGATTTACATATTGTAAAAGATTATAGTTTATTGTAGAAATAGTGACTTTTTTGCACTAAATAACTTGTTTCAACCGCCTAGAAATGAGTATTATTCGTTTACTGTCACCCAATAGACTTTTTACAGAACTGCAAAACAAATTAGCAGCAACAACGAGTCTCGAACCCTCGATCATCTGCTTCGTAGTCCGCTGTCTTGCCACTGCGCCACTGACGCGTTGTTCTAGCGCCTCGCTCATTACTGGGTGCGCCGGCTGCGCCGAAGGAAAATGGCCTTGTAACTCCCCCCACCCCCCACAAAACCGCGAAGCACCTAGCGAAAGTAGTTTGAGTTTGCCTTAGCGAGGACGGTTTCCTGATATACAGCTCATTCCAAATGGCCACTTCGACCGATCACCTTTCCTTGTGAGAAATTTCCATAGAAAGCAAAGACGTCATTGTTTCGGCCAATGCTGCTTAGTTGCAAAATTGAAAGAGTGGAAAACATGTAAATACCTAGTTTTGAGCTTTATTTTCGCTCCTATTTAGAGCGGCATTTGTTTCTTCACATTCTTTTCTTTGTGACTATAAAGCCGACTGAAATGAAGAGCCGTTTCATACCGCCGCGTACGCTCCTATGATGAAATATACCGAGCGTACGCCGCGCACTCTGGCCTAACTCATACATCAATTAATCGGAAATCTTGTTCAGTCGTAAGAGCTTTCCGTCTTGAGCAGAGTGATGCAAAGAAAAAAAAAGGTACAGTCGAGTAGATTTTCCGCTCAATATAGTGTGCTTGCACGGAAGGTTGAAATGCGGTATAATTTGCGCGTGAACAAGTAGCCACGCCAGTAATGAGAGCCTCTTGCACGCGCAATCGGCCGGCGTCACGAGCGCAGCTATTTGTTCACGCGCAAATTTTACCGCATTTCACCTTCAGTGCAAGCACACTATATTAAGCGGAAAATCTACTCGACTGTACCTTTTACATTCATTCCCCATTGTTAGTCAAGTACGATTCCTGATTTTTTTTTATCCGGCAATTTAGGTGTTGCTTTCAAACAATCATAGCCTACAATGGCCTCCCTCATCAGCAATCACTAGTGCGATGTGACCAAATCGCAGCTTTGTGACGTTGGATAGAGTATGATCAGCTGTGCCGGAATTTCTGAGAAGTACGAACAATAATGATTTCTGAAGTGATTGTTCGACAACCCCTCATCAAGATTAGATTTCTATTTTGAAAAGATATTTTCTCGTTTTCTTAGTCTTGTCCTCGTACACCTGATTTTTTGCATTCCTGCAACCATGTGAGATATATTGTTGAGTGGTCAATGTCATTTGTCATTTTCTCATGTTTGAGGGAAGTAAATCTTATACCTCACATATTGCTGAGAAGCATAAGCCTAGCATGTCAGGCACTTAGTGGACAGAAGCTGCCAATGCATTCTAGGCGATTGCTTCGAGCTATGTGCGGGGGTGTGTTGCATGGCGCGATATCCCACCATTGTACTGTTCTGGATCCGGAAGCTTCAGTGACGACAGCAAAGAGTGACTCAGAAGATGACGTACCTTCTCGTCTCGGACGCGATCCTCTCCCTCCTTTCTCGCTCTTTGGGTGTGATGTAGTTAAGGTACGCTGGATTCCGCAAAATGGTGCCCTTCTTAATTATTTTTCACCTGAGAAATGAGTGGTTTACCTGCTCCAGCGTCGTCAGTGCCGATATTGCCGCGCTGTCGAGGTAGGTTACAAAAACTTCGATCAGCTCACCCAAAGAAGGGTGGTCTGCGTGCACTGAAGTATTCAGCTGGCTGTAAAATTGCGAGGCTTATTACCAAAAGATACTTCATTGGGAATGATGTAAATCATACTTGTGGTAGGCCTCCGCTAAGTTAGTTGTGCGCAACTCCTCTTTGCCATGTTTGTCCCATAGATCGGCGAACATCCCTTCATACCACGTCCCTCGTAAGTACGAAAGGCAAGGTGTGAGGGCCGGGTGTTGTTGCGGAACCGGCGGCGCATGGAGGGCGCCGCACTTCACGATGTAGACGTCGTAGTAGAAAGACCAATCCTTTGATGGTGGCCTACCAATCCGCCACTTCATTGGACTTCTGCGCTCCCTCCGGTGCAGGCCTGCGCAAGGCGAAAAGCGCAGCCCTGCACCGGAGCCTCAGGAAACGTGTGCAAAAGTTTTATTGATGACAATCGACGTTGACGTTTTGTGAGACTTACCCTGCCGACTACACTGACAGACGCACGTTCGTGATCCAGGACAATTCTTAGAGCAGGTGGAACTACCGACGCCTGACATTGAGAGTTCAAATGCTGAAAAGTGGCTGTGTATACCTGTTCTGTTTTCTCTGTATAAATCGCATATAGCACCACTTCGACACTGCTGCTGCACGCTCCATGGATCATGTAGAGTCGTGCCCTCTTCAGCTGAAGGGGCTGGAAGGAGTGCACCCCGTCAGCGATCAGCGTATGTAACCCGTGCCGAGCAGCCTTCTGAAAACAAAAATTACCTATCAGCCATTCACAATCCAGCAATTATTAGAGCTCTACCTGTACCGTATTAAGTTGTGATAAACGTGCAGATTCGGCTCCATGCAGTGCATTTCCATCTGGCAACAAGCGCAAGCGATCAAATCTCTTCCATGGAAGTGTGCTCTAAGGAATCTGCACGAGAACCGGTTGCTCTGCAATCATAAAATTTATATCGTGTTTTGCAAACAGGGTTAATCTTATTGCTTAATAGCGTCTCTTCTAGAGACTATTCCACTCTCGTAGTGGTGGGCCACCGTCTTATCCCGTAAAGCAGTTTTGAATGGTGGGTTTCACAATCAGGTATGTGTTTATTCTGCTGAACGTCTCATGTTCATTGGACCTTTTTCACTGCATTAACTGCAATAGAGGAGTATGCAGAAATGAGAATTAAACTCTATTAGACATCCCTCCGTAACGTATTGTTTCATCCATCCATTTCACCTAAACAGTTGGATCTGAATATGAACACCCTTTCCATAGTGAGAAATGACAGAGATCTTTGCGAAATCTTCATTTTACTGTAAAGCTACAAGGTATTTGAAGACGCATGCTGTGGCAGCAAGACGACTGTATCTGCAGAGAGCCATAGAGAAGACACTAAAGATGCCGTGGGGCAACTACGCATAGATGCCATTGGGAATAACGACTTGCGATTGACCTCGATTATGTCGACCGATCCCTGAGGCATAGTTTTGGTGAAGGAAAGACCAGAACGTATAAGTAGTGAAAGGCATGCAAGAATGTTACCGTCACAAAACTTCTACAGGTAGTTGGCACTTGTTATTCACCTTTCATTGAAGTCCTTGTAAGGTATTTTTCTTAGTTCTCTAAGCGATGGCTTCCACAACTATTTATCCAGCTCTCTTTCAACCACTTTATCTAGATCTCTTTATATTGGCGATGAGCTTATCAACCTAGTTGGTAGGTTATGCATCTCATATGTTACAGATCTGATGTGAAGAGATTATTTTGCAGGAACAACTGCAAGCTTCATAGCAGAAATGGGATCGTCGAGGGTTGGTAAGCTCCAGCGGCTTTGTACAGGATCCCAGATACAAGCATGTGCTTCACCTTTACGTTTGAGACAATCAAGAAACCATGCTTTGTACCAGCGCCAGCAGTGTGAGAAGCATGGAAAATTGATTGGCATAAAGGTAAGGCGGTTCTAGTTGTGTTCGTAAGCTGATCAAAAAACCCTGTAATCGATTCAGGTAATGGGTGAAGATTTTGCTTCAGACCCGTGCTCTCTGGACCATCATCCCAAGTGCATGCCTATCAGAACAGCCAAAGGTTCAGCAGATAGGGCTGTTTACAAAGTGAGATTTTTAATACAGTTGTTAGGCCGAGTACGCCTCGTACATATACGAGGCGTACTCTAGCATCAGACGCACTTCGCAGCAGCCGTAGATGCAGCCGGTTCATGCAATGGGTATTGGTATGCGCCAATTATTTCATATGAGCATCTCAACACAAAATTCGCCCTTTTGCGTTTTTCAGAAGAGTTTAGCTGATATAACTCTATCAGCAATGTTCGAACTTCTTCACCGAATCCACTCGATTTCTGGAGGAGATTCCCACTTATTCCTATAACTTTGTTCTGCATCTTACTATTGAACTCTTACTATATGCGCGTTCCTCCTTCTCTTTTAAGGTACTCGGTCAGACTGCTATCACACATCGCTCTGTAACCGAGAAGGGTACGAAAATTTCCTTGTCAGATTGCCATTCGGCAAATGCGTTTGGACAGGATGATCGACCTTCGCGCCCATTGAACGCTAGACCACACCGGCCAAGAACTAAGATGGTTTCGACTACTAGCCCCAAAATGCTACGTCGGTTTCCAATCCGTCCCCTTCCTCCTGCTGCGGTCTTTCTTCTACATCCGGGCTGGGCCTGCGCACTGCAGACAAGACAGCTTCGGCTCTTTTGCTGCTGAACTGATGGTATTCCATTGCACGTGAGTGGTAACATAACCAACTTTTCCGAACATTCAGCTAAATCTTTTGAGTGTCTCGTGCACTAAGGCTTTGATTAGCAAAGTGATGCCTCTGTGAGTCGGTTCGGCGAGAAAGAGGGCGCGGTATCTGCAAAAGAGACCTTCTAGCGCTGGGCTGTACGCCAGAAAGCGCGCTTCTGGCCTCCGAGGATGATCCTGCCTTAGACGCTTCAGAGATGGTCCACTCCTGGTCATACGCGTTCCGGTAGTCCATGCCGAAGACGGTTCTACGGAGGGTGTGTAGAACTCCGTCAAAAATGTGAAGCTTTGCTCATCCAAAGGTTTTGAATGCCAATGCTGAAGACATTTCGGAAGTCTAGAGGATTAACAGATGGAAGTGGGCGTGGATGCTGTGGCCTCAAGAGATGTTCCGTGATATGGAATCCTAGCAAATTTTCAGCATATGTAAGAATGAGTGGAAGGGTGAAAGAGCGTTACACCTAGAAGAATGCGCAGTTTTTTCATTGATTTTATGAGATCGGTCTTCTTATCAGTCGCTTAGAGAAGAGTGTAATGATAATTAACAAAGCTCAAAAAATCAGCCATGAAAAACACAAAGCTTGCAAAAATTTTCGAATCGCCATGAATACATGGTGCACCGAGTTTATGGAAATTTTTACAATATCATGAAAAACGGCACGAATTCTCCTGATTGTAAAACGTGTTTGAAGTTTCAAGAAAAAGGCGCATTTGCAGCCAAGATAGAGAATAAAATTTTACTTTAGGAGAAGATTAACGCAAAAATTCTAATAAAGTAGTCAAAACAAATAAAGTTTTTGACAGAGACATAGTATGGTGCAGAGAACCTTAGAAAGGCAGCAAGTTTAGCATGAGTAGACAAAACGTCATAATTTCCAATGTTTTGGTTACAGTTCTCTGTTCTCTGATAGGAAGTATCAAAAACACATTGAAACTCCGAGTTTTTCTCAAAAAAAAATCACAAATTCTGACTTTTTTCGTGACAGAGGCTACGCGGAAAATCATAGAAAGGCTCGGGAATGCATTTAACCTCTAAGATTTCTCTAAAAATCATAATTTCCGACTTTTCGTGACAGAGGCGTAGTATGGAAGAGATTTAGAAAAGATGAGAAAGATTTGAAGAGTTTCAGACTTCAAAAATAATTTAATTTACCTTTTCCAAGATAACTTTCCAAACGATGGTGGGAGCGATTGCCGATAATAAGCAGATTGAAGCATGGCTATAGAACTTGCAAATATAGCCTATTAAAAATCACTGATAGTCCAGAGCAACTGAGAAGTTAAAAGTAATGAAACTTTTTGCAAGAAATTTAGATTCTACTATGAAATGCCGAGACATTCTTATGCTGATTTTCGCCTTTCAGGGTGAAATTTACATTTCTTGTTTCAAAAGTACGACATAAATGTAATATAACGCTTACCTGATTTGCAATTTCTTTCCAATGCAGCCGACTAACTGCATAGTGGAGAAAGTAGACTGTATAGATTTATTGTGGCTGTTGTGAGATCTCTACCCTTCCTGCGACTTCGCAACAGCCACATGGAAGGAACTCTATACACTGGAAAGCAGAAGCAGTTTGAAAAACTATTGTCAGTTTGGTTGAAACACATTTTGAAAAGACATATTTTTAACAACCTATTTGTAAGCTTTGACTCTTTTGCTACCATTTCCTATTCGTGTCTAGTTCATGCTGCTCCTGAAATGATTACGAAACGAATAATAGTTTGCAAAAAAAACTTTATCCTCATATCACATATTCAGTGAACATTCAATCAATGGGAAAATTTGTGGGAGCCTTCCAAAATCAATCCGGTATATTTAAAATTTCAATCACATGTCTTTTTTATCACGGTTCCTGTTTCAAAAACTTTTCATTTTCACATCAAAGGGTGATGGCTGGCAAAAGCTCGTCAATCTGCCATTCTCTGCTCTCCATTTACTTGATTGCCTTAGGTATCATCTGAAAGATGTATTGTCTTTTTGCAAGTTCCTTGGCTGTGGTTTTGCGGCTTCTATCCTACACAGTGTTTGCGGTCAACGATGGAAAGTTGATTAGCTTCAATCCTGCTGAAAGCATGGATGACAAACTGGGATAACTATTTAGTCTGCCGTAGAAACGATGCCAGTAGATTTCCACGACGGAGAGGACAAATCGATAGAAATCACCACGGGAAAGTAATTTAGCAGAGGAAGTGTCTATCTCTTCCCGTTGTTGTCAGCAGAAAAAACGATAATGCAGCAGGATATGTGCCATTAGCTTAATTTCCTCGAAGCATGGAGTAGAACTTTTCGTGCGATGTTGCTTCTAGTCAAAGCCAATCCGGTTAAAGGTTTTTTTAGCGGTGGCACATGCTCAGATACCATATTGGTACAGCTCTTTGTAAGCGGTTGCACATGCTCAGGTGCCATATTAGCACTGCCGTTGCAACGCAATGACTTGACTTTTCCGTGAAAGGAAACAGCAGAGCACTGGCGACAGATGGCATCCAGGGGTCTGCAGCACAGTAGAGGCAGACGGTTTCTCATCATCAGCAGTCGTTGTATTTAGTAATTGCAGGAATAATAGCGGTAGCAGAGCTCCGAGCATGGCAATCGGATGGCTGTAAATTTCGGTTACATGCGAATAGATGGAATACATGTGAAGTATTATAGATTGAAAGTGATTACCGAGGGTGCATAAGATAAGGTAGCTAGCACCTGCAGGATTTTCACTTCTGTGAAACTGCGCGTCGTTGAATACTAGACAAATTGGCACTTTTCACATCCGTACCATGTGATCACATCATTCAGAGATAATGTTACTTATTGAGTCGTATAAAAGTAGAGAATAATACATACACAAATTCCATAGCGTTTTCTCACAACGAAGAAGCATAATTCTCCCAACTGCTACCATATAAAACTACAAGAATATGTGACTTTGTCTTCTGTCTCCTGCCCTCTTTAAAAACAACTTCGTTCTTCATGAGTAAGCGGAGAGGGTTGTATCGCGCTTTTCCGAGATGTGATAGCTGAGATCGTCCGAGCAGCAACTTAGTGAATACTAAGTCGGTATCGTGCACGTATTAAAAATGAAACAGCCGATGGGCGCTTGCGATGTTCGTTTATACGGTGGAAATGAGGACGGTACGAAGCGCAACACTTCTGCGACAGTTTACTACGAAATAGTAGCAGCTGAGTAGCAATTGCATCGCTGCCGTAGCCAGCGCAGATTGGCTCAATCGCATGCTTTCGCAAATACAAACATTCGAAAGACCATTTGAGAAAGAAGATTATATGACAGGGATGGATAAATACAGCTTGAACACCAGTTTAAATAGGTAATATGGATAGATGGTATAGGACGCTCAAAATTTGAGATGTTGGGAATTATATTGGGACGGATGATAACAGCGAGTAAAGATAACAATAACATGGAAAGGTGGTAGGAGACGTTGAAGATTTACGAAAATGATAGCAGAGGAACACCAGCGGCAATTTCAAAACTCTTTTCGTTATCGCAACGCTATGAAGGATGCGATCAATTCACGATTTCGAAATTCTCTCGTAATGGCTCGTCTGCGTCATCGGCTTGTAGATCATCGCTCTCGAATTCTCCTCGCCTAAGTCTCTGCAAGACATTATGATGTCGAGCGCGTTCGAATGTTAATCCTTCCTACGCTACGCCGAAAGGGGGCGTGTGAGAGACGAAGGGCTACTCCCGTCTCACGGAATGTTACCATTTTATATATAAAAAGATTTGGTGTGTCGTTATCCCTGCTCTACAAGCAAGTAAGTTTGATTATCACCGTGTACAAAAGAACTGGGTTTTTGGGAAGCGTGGCTTGAGGAAGATCATGGTGAAGCATGCTGTAAAGATCTCTTCGTTACTAGGCCACCATGTGCATGCGGTAGGAATGTAAACGCGTGTACTTACGATAACGCTTTGCAGTTCCGCCTAGCTTGACATTTCCACCCTCGTGCTGGCGTGCTGACTCTGCTTTCTTCAAAATTGCACTTAGTTCTCCTTGATTCCGTCTCGTGTTTGCCTCCATCTTCAATTCCGCCGTCCGTTAAAGGCAGCGTCCAGGCAAATTTAACTAAGGCACTGTCCAAGCGGCAGCGCAGGTAGTGCTCTAACGGCTGAGATATTCCCCTCGAAACTGGACCCCGCGATTGTATTCGCATGGATTCATGGCAGTTTCGCGCCAGGATCCACGCTTTGCGCCATGAATCCATGCGGAATACGATTGCGGGGTCCAGTTTCGAGGGGAATATCTCAGGCGTTAGAGCACTATCTGAGCTGCCGTTTGGGAAGTGGCTTAGTTAGGGCCCATACTATCCACGTGAGATCCCCATGTGTCCAGACTTGCCTGGACGCTGCCTTTAAAGCGCTGATTCAAATCGCGAAGCTGATATTTTTAAAGGAGTATGTTACGACATCAAGCACAGCGATGTGGCCATTATGCACTCAACGTAAGGAATGGCATCCCTTGACGCCTGCAAAGTTTATACTTTAAAGCATACAGCTACTTAGCGAGATGTCATCGAGTCCAAATGCTGTAACTGTTAAAGGCAGTGTCCCGGCAAAATTGCGCCCTCCGGTTTTACCTCTTCGAATCTCGCCATACTGAAGCCATATCTGAGGTTTTCAAAAATGGCAAAAAAGAGCTTTTTCCGAAGCTCTCCTGTCCGCGTTCGCTCTAAATTACTTGTGTGGGAAGTGGGCGGAGCCCGGAAATGGGCGGGGTCCGGAAAATTTTCGGAGCTGATTTCGGCTTTCTAGAAGCGCTTTTTTGCTCCAGACTTCACTATTAGATTAGCTGGAGGGTCTACCCTTGCAGCACTGTAAATCCCGGTACCTGTTGCCGGGATGCTGCCTTTGACAAGCGACTAGTTCACGTAAGGCCGTGTCTCGCAAGGCGCAGTCGGAGGTTTAAACGGCGCCAGTGTTCGCAGGGCGCATTGTGGCCGTTTGAAACCTTTCTGCTCATCTTGTTTGAGAGTGATTACTGCAAGGAATAACGAGCAAGCTGTTGTTGGTATGATGTCTTGAGCGATATTTCTCACCACTACTTTTGAAGAATGCTAGCAATCTGCACTATGCAGCACTCTAGGTTCAGAAACGACATGACATGTTTGCGCGGTTACTTAGAGGCTTGATCTACTTTACTATCGGGCTGTTCTTTTTAAAAAGCAAACATAGACTTAACTGAAGCAAGCCTTCAGTTCCGAAAGCTTGCGCTTGCGGCTTTGCAACAAATTGCATTAACATCAGACTTCACTTAAGGTACGTACCTTAAAGGCACCGTCCACCCTTTCAGGGCCTTCTCAAGTCTTTGATTCTGAATATGAAGGTGGGGTTCTGCCCGACAATCCCCATTCCGGAAAAGCCAAGGCCAGCTTTCAGAACGGTGATTGGATGAGCGCGCACAAATGGGAGGGCATGGATGAGGGTCCGTGCATCTTCGCTATTCCGAAGCGATCTTCTCACTTTCAAAGCGGCATATTGTGCCGCGACTTGGGCATTGGCTTTGGCCCTACTGTCATATGCTGTCAAAAGCTCAACACCCTCAACTTAGGGTGGACGGTGCCTTCAAATGGTAGATATCTCTATCGTTCGGTACTGCTACGAGGACGTTGCAAGAATGTTAACTCATTACTGTCAACGGTATTGTTTCCTTTGCTTTAGAAGAACCTGGCAGACATAAATTTCAATCATTCATTCCAAAGTGCCGGTTAGTGAGGATGAAATTGAATGCTTGTTTGGAAAAAAGCCTGCAACTTTACACTGCTTTCAAAAGTGTGTATCATCCATACTGCAACCCATTGTGATTTGAGATTTTGGAAAAGAAACAAAAAGAAAATTGCGCTCATCTCCAAACGATTAGATAGACTGTTTCGTCAACACCATTTTTAGAGAAAATCGATGTCGGGCATTGTGGTCCAGTATATATCATAGAAGCCCTACAACTCTCCAGACGGACTCCCACTAACACTTGGTACATAAATTGGAAACAAAAATAAGGAAGGCATGCGAAATAAGAAAGCTTCAGCCACAAATAGTAAAGGAAGAAATGAAGGAAATCAATGCTGACCACTTGATTGTCCACAGTCAATGAAGCACAGGTGCGTCCGCTGCTGCTGTTTGTTGCCAGTCTTCCTCAATGCCTCCAAAGTGGGTTAGGACTTCATTCCAGAGTCTCTTGTGTTTTGAATCTATCTCAAAATGGATCGAGCAACTCATGGGACGATCATATCTTTTTACAAATCTAAGTTTCTTTTAGAACACGATAAAATACTAAAAATGCGCTAATCGGTGTTCATCTGGCAATAAACATCGCTCCTCTTGACGTACACTCCATCTTAAGAAGAAGCGGCGAACCTTTGGAGAATGCTTATGCCGCCGGATCATAAGTCGGGGATTAAGGATGATTGAGGATACAGGGGATTGTGTTAAAACAGAAAAAAATTGAAGAACAGGGGTTTCAGGAGAAATGTAAAGTGTCATGCTCTTGATCGCTGTCCCAGTGTTTTATATATTCATAATTGATTGGACAACAACTTTGATGAGTGCTTTTGAGCGATGGATCAAAAGTAATCTACGATGATCTTGTCTTGCCCTCAAATCGATGGTGGCGTCATTTCCAGAGTAGGCATCCATTTTGGCATTCTTTTTCAACCATTTTCAGATCTGTACATTCACCCTCAAAAAGTTTGTGTTCATGAGATCCATCCCACTGAACTGTGCCGTATTTTACGTCTTTTTAGAATGCACTCCCGCAAGACTACGAGAGCTGACGCAGTCTCAGTTGCTAGTAGTATTGAATTTCATGTGAGCATCCAGGGTTTATTGTTTTTACCAAGATTAAAATCATAGAAATCCCCACCATAATAGGGATCAAATACGTGATGTTTTCTTTTTGTGTTTCTTAATTGATGCCTAGCATCCATGATGCACTAGTGTGTCTCTAACAAGTTAGCGCAAAATACATGCATTTCCAATTTCCAGGCGTTTACTTTCGTAATTTCATATGACATATAATCTAATTTGCAACTTCGTATTTTTTAAATTTGCTGCTTGCTGGAATGAAAGGACGAGGGTCAGCCAGCCTTTTAACAAAAAATTGAGGATCATTCGATCACCCAGTATATGTATCATTTATTTTCAGGACGCTATAATCGATGAGAATTTTGTTGACGGGTATCGCAAAGCCAAAAGAGAAAAGGAGATCTTTGAGGTAGCTGTTCAGCAAGCCTCTCTCCGTTGTCGTAACATTATAAGTTTTCAGTCGCAAAAAGGCGGTTTGATTGAGAGATGGATACGGCACTTTACTGATAGAGCGTTGTTGAAACGCCTTGTAAGATTTCCTCAAGTTTTTGCAGCATAGAATATTCACAAATGATTCATTAGGAGGCTTATGAGGACTCGGAACTCAAGACGTTTATTGCTCAAAAACTATTCAAAGTAGACGGAATACTATGTGACGAGCAGACGCGTCTGGAGCTGATACAGAATATGGTTGCTCGCTCTGAATTTTTCGAACTTGATGAGGCCGATCTGGTTAGGAAATACGGGTAAATTTTCAGGGTTTGTCGATTCTATGATTTTTGTACTGCATATAACTTGATTTAGAGAAGAAATGACGGGATGGTTGAGAGATCGTCTGGTTCCTTCCCTCAGCGAATGTAGCAGCGTTCTTTTCAAAGCTGCCTCACATTTCAATCGACTCAAAAGTGTCAGTATTTTATCTTTTTCTCGTTAGATTAACATGGAACTTTTAAAAGGGTGGAGGGGGAGGGGGAGGGGAGGGAAAAACTTGCATGATGCTGTCTATTTTCATTATACAATCATGGCTCTACAAAATGATTTGTATTTGAAATGTGCCTACGGAAGTTATATTTCTGCTTTTGCTTGAAATGCAAGAATCAATCCAGGAAATGGTCATGTGGCAACCATTAGATTAGCATAAATATGGAACTTATCTTAGGCTTCAGCTCTCAAATTCATAAGTGGGTTCTTCGAAATTTCTACTTTGGATCAAATACCCGCCATTTATCGTGCAAGACAATATTCTTCGAATGCCATCAAAAATGGTGAAAATAAGGCGGCTCAGGTTCCTAAACAGTAGACTCCCGATACCGTTGAGTGAAACTACTCTGATAATCAGCCATGAAACCGGAAATGGAAAAATTTATGTTGTGAAAACCTCCTATCAAATTTTTTTTTGCAATTCACACGTTATTTTATGTAGACTAGGCCATGTATTTTACCTGAAGTTTGAAATTTTGTGTCTGCAAGACCACATCTTTATGAACAATCATCGTGACTGTAATACTATCTTCACTTTATTCAAATTTTTAGCGCGATCCCCTTCACAATTGGTTCCGCCATCCAGCTGAGGTTTCGACACAAATAGCTGCGCGCATCTCACGATTTGCTGCTCAAATGACGGACAGAGTGCGCTGGTCCTTGCTCATTGAACCAGGCAAGATCAACTGTCATGTGATGGTCAGTCCTACGGTGACATTCCTCCCTTTTATCGCAACTTTTTTCTTAGGAATTCACCGCAGAGTTCAACCGCTTGGAGTCATTCTTTTCCAACAACGAACTCACCCCAGAAGAAGCCGCGCAGACCGCATTCAACGCGAATTATCTCACAAAAGCTAGAAGTAAACGTAAGTGACTAGGAGTTTTCTACAAAGTGAGCATTTGTAAGCAGCTGGACTGAGAGCGCCATTTACAGCATTCTTTCTCAATTAGCGCGAAATTCTGAAGGTTCCCTCCCAACTACAATACTTGCTAATTTCGTGGGACATTTTGCTAGGGGCTCTACGAAGCTGAAAGTGTCATCAGGCAATAATATTGTCTCCCAGCTTCTACAGACTTTGATTCTCATGCGAACACCAGCGCTTGGAATTTCATTTCGTTTCCGCATATTAACAATCGCATGAAGCGCGAAGGCTAGAGAGTTGGTTACATGAATACAGATATGGGATTGTGTCCTGGGAAGAATATGAGGTTTGAAAAGAACATTGCGCACCAGTGATCACATCGTAAATGGTCACGACGCGGCTGGCCACATTCGATCTAAGCAAAACTTCAGAAGCTGTGTCCTTGTTTATTGGAAGTGGAACCGTAACGATTCATTCTATCATCTCGCTCAACTTTTGCTCGGAGAAACGCTCATATCTTGGCTTCCAGAGGCAGCAGCTACAGAAGACAGAATGGTGTTCAGTGCCACAGAATCATTAGAATTCTGAGAGAGCCACTTCGAGGCTGGAGACAGCGGAATGGGGGGAGAGGGGAGTGAGTGGATTGAGTTTTTGGAATGGGAGCATTCGTGAAATTGCTAGTTAAGAAGCCTGATATTTTGATCGCTGCAAATTTAAAGGCACCAATGCGGGGCCCCTAATTAAGTAAACGCCTGAGTTCCTCTGCAAAAAGTGAAACTGAAGCATTAAAATCTCTTGGGAGGGTAGTAGCAGATGTGGTCGCTCCACCCATCAGCATGGGTGGCTTCAAAGAAGTGCAAAATCGGCTTAACTGTGTGCAAAACTGTCGAAAATATGACAGTCATTGTGAAGGGCTTTGGACTTCAAGCCCAATTTTGGACCTGTATCTTCAGACCACCCATGTGGCGGGCAGAGGACCGCCGCCACCTTCAGCTGGTGTAGCCTGGAAGGATTTTCTCGCTTTTCACCTCACCCCTTTTGCGGTGCACATTACCTAGATAGGGGCTACCGTATCTAATTCTCGTCATCCTTCGTTTGGGTGGACGGCCTGGACCTTCAACACCTCCAGCTGGTGTACCCCTGCGGGAATAGATTATCTATACTTAATCACAGACACTCAGAAGCTTTGATGTAAATATTATAGTTTAATCCGTAGTACATAGATGCGATCAATTGGAACCTACATGGGCTGCAGGCGTTGTATTAGACCACGTGCAAGTCTTGTGCAATCTAACGTAGAAAATTCTACTATGCAATCGAATTTCGTCACTTTGTCTTCAGTGATACCATGCTGTGACGTAACACGTGTACATCTGCTTTCTAACGAATCGCGTCAGGAGGACAGAGCTGAAGTGATCGAAGACATTTTCTCAGCCGAACACACGACCGAGGTGTCCTTGACATCGTCAAAAACATAGTAAGCTTGACAGCTTCTGAAACGTTAAGCTGTGATCCACCTCATTGCTTCAGCGGTACCCCTGACTTCATACACGCAAATTACGTACATGGAGGACCGCTTTTGAACACATTCATATGTACTCAGGCGCCCTTGCAAAATACACAGGCTGATTTTTGGAGAATGGTAGGCAATTGCTATGTTTCTAAGATTTAAAAAAAACAGTTTTAAAAACAACAATAGAAATAAAACAAAAAAGTTCTGAGAGAAATTTTTTGTTGAACATCAATGCTATCAATTCAAAATAAATATATTCCTATAAATTAGTAGATTTAGTAAAAATAGGACCCAGCGCCAGTCTCTTGAAATCTCAAGCGAATTACCTATGGTTCAAGTACAGCATACGGTTAAAGTTCAGTTCATGATTATAGACTCAGCTCAAGGTATGTGAGCCACTGTTTTAATCAAGGTACAAAAAACATGATTTTGATCCTTAAAAGTACTAGTTTTGTTGTGCTGCCATACGACCGATAATTCAACTATCATAAGTAAAGATTTATTATCGGGAACTGAGAACAAGCTACTCTAAGACCGATCTTGCACATTTTAGGTGTATCAAGAGAAGTCAAAATTTATAATAATGCTGTGCAGCGCAGTAGACAAGCATTCACTTGGTCCACTAGATCATTCTCCGTCCCCTCACTGCTTATATTACTGGCCCAGGTATCATCATCTCTTCTTTTCTGCTACCCGTGAATGTGCAGATATGAGTTCGGACAGTTTTTTTTTATCATTTCCCTTACAGGTCGGTAGGAGAATCTCAACGCTTTGGTTCACTGATGGTTCGTAATGTTCGCGTCGATGGCACGGTAGACCCGTTATTTAACGTCACTTACTTGGTAATGAAAAGTTTTGTCGCTTTATCCAGGGTAAGTAAGACTTTTTCAGGAGTTGCGACCTATTAACAGTGACAACGAGGCTGACGTGCACACAGTCGAACACTGGCAGTGGGACTGGCAGCAGATGAGCGATGTCCATTGGCCTTTTCGAGTGCTGAGAAAGTGAGAATGTTATCACATAAAAACATCATAGGAAGTTCAACATAGATATTTCAGCTCTTGCGAGCGCTAAGCGCAAAAAATTGGCTTGTTATTTTTAAAATGAGAATACAATGCCGCCTATAATTTCCGCAAAAAAAGCGACTATTTTAGGTGACGTCGCCGTGCGAAGCCATATCTCGTTTTACGGTGGACATGTATAAAGGCACCTGTGGATATGGTTTATGCACGGCAGGCAGTCAGATTTCGCAAATGATGTACAATTTTAACTCAGTTTTTGAGATCAATAAAATCAGTTGATTCAGTCAGCCGCAATGATAATGATTACGTGCCCTGAGTAACCTAAAGCAAAATCTAAAAAGATTGAAATCAATCTGGCTGCTACCGCGCATCTACAGTGACCAAACCAAACAACAGGACCAAACCTCTGTAAATCAGAAATGCTCCTCGTGGAGCTGAATCGAACTCCGTGATTGGATTCAGTTTCGTCCACTCTGAAGCGAGATATGGCCACGCAACGGTGACGTCACCTAAATCAGGTCGCGTTTTTTTCGGGAACGCTGTGGGAAAGCTGTCAAATGCATTTGTTCTTTGCATGAAAGAAGCGAAATGGTGTTATGGCAAAAACATAGCGTTGACGTCATATAAAGAGCCTGACTAAAAGAACTATGGAGAGCTTAGACTTTGATTTCCTCTCCTAACTCGAAGCCCTCCTTATTTTACTCCATGTTTGATGCGCAGTCTTCGCATATAATAATGAATATGTGGTCAATCAATTCAAACCGAAAAGGACTCATTTCTAATCTTATAACATTTTTCCTTATCTCATTTCCAGTAGATATTTACTTAATCGCGTTTAAAAGAACAGCAATGAAGAGACTATATGCCGCCGAAAAGAGGTGATCCCACGCGGACATCTGCAACCGTAGTCATGCATGCTACAGGCAATACAGATATGTTCCAGATGTCCGCGCGGGGTGGAGCCTATCGGCGACATATCGTGTCAACATGTACTTTCGTATCTCTCACCCTAGGAACAGCAATCAGCTTCAGCTTTTGAATTATGTCAAAAATGGCATCACCGAACATTTTTGCTGAGTCCCAAAATTTCTATGTTAGTTATCACCTGTGAATACGAGGAAATCCCAGACAGTAAGAAAATAGCCCACCTATCCACTCTTTTGGCAGTAAACGAAAAACCTCTTTATTTCTTTGAAAATCTCACTTTATTGCTCACGTTGCAAAATATATATCCTTTCAGTGAAGTAAGCAATAGAAGTTGAATCATCCAGCTACTTAGAGCGAGGGATATTGTCACGCGAAGGATGAGTAGCATAGGTCAAAGGATCTAAGTTGGTCTCTATTCTTTCAAAGCATTTTATAAATCTAGTTCCCGATATAAACCAGGCATGGTAGTGGTGGTATAATGTTATGAGGAGGTGCCGTTTTGACCATAGTCATTGTCTAGGATAGCAGGCATTTATTAGTCTTTACAACTATGAAATATGCGTTCAAAGCGTAACCGCAGGGAGTGCTGACGACAAATTGTTCATTGTTTGTTATTATTATCTGATACTACGAGATCTTTTAGAGCTCGGCTCCAGAAAACTCCGACAATCGTGCAGTGCCTGGACGGTTGTGGCAGAAGTGGCACTTTGGTGGCGATAGAAACAGTACTTATGCAGTTTTTGAGAGGTAAGTGGAATAAAGTAAGACTGAAGTAACTAAGTAAAGAAGATAAGATAAGCAAACAAACATAATTTCAAAATGGTACACTCTCTAGTTTTGCACTATGGTATGACTCATTAACCCAATCATCTCACAATAATGCTCTCCTCACATACAGTGTCCCGTAAAAGTCCTCGGTATTTAACGTTGATTTGTCCCTTACCATGACATCTTCCACCGACCTCCAGGTACCAGTTGGTATCCGAGCTGGCTTTCAGCTGTAATTGAGTTGAAGCCAGTTTGGATAAGAAAAGGATTTGTCGTCTTCGCTTGTGTAAGGTTAGGGTAGGAATTCCTCCGAAGTCAATTCTGGAATTTTCAGACCCTGAAAACTTTTTGATGATGCTTTTGGGGCGCTGGTTCCAGAAACTCACTTAGTACATGTTTGCAACGCAGTTTAGAGAATGCGATGGTTTTTGACAAAAAGACCCTACCATTGGGAGAAAAGTCTGCGGTAATATAAACATGATTGTACATATTTTGAATTAGCTACCCTTATTTGCCTAGCTATGGAATATCCAGCTTTTCTGGAGTCTTTTTGGTGCGAATGATTCTCGTAGTTTCGAAACCCTTTTCGACTTTCGGTACCTGTACAGAACAATAATGTCGCTGAAATAGCAGTCGATGATTTGCTCTATATTCAAAGTGAGTAGAAGCCAGCCCTACAGATTTGTAGCTGGAGGTGTCGGCGAAAGATGAGAGATATTATTAAGATTAAACAGTGGGGACATTTTTTGGGACGCCTCATATTTATTCGATATGTTAAAAAAAATCTGAACATCGAAATGCACAGCAATGAAGCAATGCGGAACACGCTGACTTTACAGAAGAACTTCCTGAAGACCTCAGCGTCAGAGCTTGCATGTCTACCTCATAATGAACGGTAATGCTTCGCTGAACGCGCTGTTTGCCTGCAAGAACTAATTAGCATACTTTGCTGCAGTTTCACATTGCGTTGTTTCTGTTTTTGTTTGTATCTAACTTCCGCCATAGCGATCTGTGCTTTCCACAATTGTAACATCGTCCATGCATAAGAGCTCGTAAAAGCATCAAAACTGCAATTTGCAGAGTGTACGCGCATACTTTAGGTTCTCCACTCGAAGACGACACGGTTTTCTTATCTACCGTATTTGTTCGCCTTCAACGTCGCCTGGCTGTATCGTCTGCCCTACATTATCTTTTCATATATCGGACTGTGTTGCACTGGGTTAGTTTGATAATTGTAACTCGCGATTACTTTACTTAACAACACAATTAAAGACCAAAAATTATCTGTATGAAATAAGAAAAGGAAATTAGATGTTTGTTTATTACACTACGTCAATCCCATACTGGTACGATGCAAGTCAAATCTTTTTTGGTATATTTCTAAAACCATACGGCGCACGTGCAATCATTCTGCCTCCAAATAAAACTGAATTTATTAACATTTTGCTGATATCCCCAGCTTTACGCGGGCCATTCTCTCAATTATCCCACATTGCGTTGCAACGTTAGGGTAGCTCAACTGCTACCGCATCCTTCACTTTGAAATAAGAATGAGCCCCCTCCCTCCCTCACCTCCGCCAATGCTTGAGCGAAGGTGCTCGAAAGTAAATAATAAAAATCACTTTCATTGCAGAGCATCAAAATCGATAAATATTATAGATTGAAGGACTCAATAAATCGCGCGAAAATTAGCTCTTGGCGAGTCGAAAACATATGCTTAAAGTTTGCCGCTTATCGGTTTAGTGAAACGCCTTTTTATGATGCACGAACAATTTAAGAAACACACTTGCACAGTTTGAGTTTTATTTATGCATAGATTTACTTTTTTCCAGATCGCTCCATATGTCACATCAATCTACCAACGTTTTGCATTAGGCTTATCATGGCCAGGAGTCGGTTTCATAGCAAAATATGAGTCGATGGTGAAAAATTTGTCAAAAATTGCACCTGCCTACTGAGATGATCATAATGCATGTTCTATTTATTAAATTGCTTGAGAATAAATTTTTATATGCTCTGAGAAGTTTTGAACGGCAGATCGCGTATGTTTAATCGAAACGAAAAGATTGCTAAGGAACGTCCATATGCATCCACTTATTTTTTAGATAAATATAAAATTACACCAAACGACAGCATCGGCAGATCAGAGGTTCATAATTTCGTGCTATTTTGAGTTTTTATCAATTATTTGCTATCCGTTGTACAGGGTGTATTAGAAACGTATACATTGTTTGGTCGTCAAAGGCAGCGTCCAGGCAAATTGTCGACTCGTGTTTTATCATGGTCGCTTCTTTTATTGGCCCTGATTCCAAATACGATGTGCAAATTGCATGAAAACATCGAATACCCTTTTTTGGTGACCCTATTATGTTAAGCGCGGACGAGTAGTACGACGCTAATTCATTGGTGCAACGTGAAAACACGTACCACGGATAGATAGGTACGTTGCAGCTGCAAGAAAATGGCGTGCTGAACATGTAAACTCGTCCGGAAGCGTGTAAGGGGAGCATAAAGGGTCAAGGGATCAGATGTGTTTAAGGTTTTATACCTTGCATTTTCCTACGGACCTTTTGATTTGCTCTAATTGGGAGGGAAGTCATCGAATCATATTAACAGTTGATAAGTCGATTTTGCCCAAACCTGTCAGTCGATTTTGCCCAAGCGTCTCTCTGTTCAAGAAATCTTTGCATTTCTTTAGGAGCCATTTTGTAGACCTGAATCCAATTTAGATTCACAGTATGGAGCAAATCACCAGTATCACTCTTTATTGCCATAAGATCAAGATAGCAATTCGAGCTTACAGCGTCCTTGTGCATCACCTGCATTTCGAAGAAAAATAAAAAACTGTTTGTTGTTCACCAGAATATTCATGCGCGCTGATTTCATGACTCTTTCCACAAGTTTTTAGAGCTGTTTAAACGGTCAGTCACAATTTTGGGGAGCATAGTTGAATAGCTTTTGCGATTCACTTGGCATAACTCATAAATGAAGCATTGCGGAAAAGCAAAGTGCACGTTTGGTGCCATCGGCTTTGAATAACCTAGTGTAAGAGTTGTCAGGTTGTCTGCTTTGCCGAACTGAAACAAGGCCCCCAATGGCTGAAAATCCTCCCCAAATTCCCTACCCTAATCCTACAGTAACCAAAAGCGAACGGTGGTATACTCCATTCCACGAATCTCTTGAAGCCAGCTCTACAAAACGTTACCTAAAAGAATGTGAAGAACTTCTCGGGAAGAGAGATATTGAAGGCAGCGTTCGGGCAAATTCGGCTCATGGCTTGTGGTATAATTCGGTGGGACCTCTCTCAACTAGAGCAAATCAAAATGTCCCGGAAAAATTCGATTTTTAAAGCCTCAAATTGCCCTCTTCCCTGACCCAAATCAGTTAGTGGATAAACATTTTGGGACACAAGGTGCAAGAAGCATACAAGGTGTTGAACACCTTGGATAGTGCTTTGTATGTCTTAGAAAATCGCTTGTTAATCCATTTGTACCTGATAAGCATAAAACCTTGGCGAGATAGGAGATAGTAGTGTATTTTTGTTATCCATCCGGTAACCACTTTAAGATTTCATTTCATTGGGTTTGGTATGGGTAGGGGGATAAGTGAGCATGCTGATTAGGAGAACGAGAAATCGTTCGTAAACATCTGTGTTTATCGATGTTGCTGAAGTATACAGGGTGTCCCCAAAAAATGTGCCTACTGTTTGATTGTAAATAACTCTCTTGTAATGAAGTGTTTCAAGATGCTTTAGGTACCGTTTTGTAGAGCGACAGCTGATTTGCTCCATACTGTAAACTTAGATTTACAGTATGGAGCAAATCAGCTGTCGCTCTTCATTAGTGTAGGATTATGGTAAGAACTTTCAGCATATGGAATCTATGTGAAATATACCACCTAACAAAATTTTTTTCAAAAAATTCGAAAAACCATGTAATAGGGTTTTCGCGCATGCTGATTTCACTTAACAACTTTTACGAGTGTTTTGAGCCTTTTTGACGGTGTAATTATTTCTGACAAATGCTGGGAATTGAGTTATTACGATTTACCGGGAATAACTTTGGAAAAAAGCATCATAATAAAATGGGAATTTTAAGTTCGAAATCAGCGACTCCCATTACCGTAGTATAAGAGTTTTTGGCTTGTTTGGTTTTGTTCCGAGGCAGAATATAGCCTCCAATGCTCTAAAATCCTTGTCGAAATTCGTACCGTAACCCTACAGTAGTGAAGAGGATAGATGATTCGTTCCATACTGAAAATCTAAGTTTAACCTCGCTCTATAAAACGGCACCTACAGCTTCTTGAAAGACTTCATTACAAGAGAGTTATTTACAATTAAACAGTAGGCACATTTTTGGGACCCCTGTATGTGACGTAGAACAGAGAAAAGCTGGAAATATTATAGATTTAAAAGATTGACGGGTTGAACTAACGTTTATGGATGAGAGAAAAGCCTGGTATGCCGGCTACTCTTATCCTATTGCTTTCAATGAGACTGCACGGTCCCTTCGCCTTTGCTTATGCAACTTGCATCTGACTATTGAGCAAGTAGGCACGCCTACTGCTATTGCTATGGTATCGGCGAGCGTGAAAGCAATTATATTGTTTCTCAGAAGCATTAGTTATAAACAATGAATGAAAAGGTTTTTGTGGTGCTTTTTCGACTATTTTTTGTTCACTTAGGTCATAGATATTTGAATCATGTATACGGGTCATTAGCAACAGCGTAGTAAATTACCGACCACTTTTTTTACTGAAAAAAAATCACTAATTGCAAATATACTTTCTGAAATTAGCGTAGAATCTGCGCTGCAAAAGTGGCTAACGTTGCAGAAATTGGACTCTCCATTGACTTTGTATGCATCCACTCTTCGATCTGATAATCATAGGATTCACGTAAGAGTGGACGTGAACGCTCTCGCATTCAGTTAATCCTGCCTTTTGCTCTCATGAGCTTTTCTGAACAAAGATCTCCTTTCAGTATTACGATAGGTTTTCCTTCCATTTACGTTTACGCAAATTCTTTTCTAAAAGATGGGACCTCTCTGTTATGCGTAAATTATCAATCAAAGTCAGTTTAACTTTGATCCTTCAAGGGATTCAATCTCTCCTCGAAAGTTTTGCAAGGGAAGAGTCAGTTCATATAGTACTTCTAAGAGCTGAAACATCGAATAGCCGATGCAGACTGCAGACTGTACACAATTTGTTGTCAGCGCTACTGTCTACTAAGTGTATCTAAGCTTTAGTGAAGGTTTTTTTTGACAAAAAACGCTTGTAACTGCAAACCCTCCGTGCTTGTGGTTATCGGAAGAATATAAAATACCATGACTGGAGCACAAAAACTCGATTTACGAAATTTTTGATTCTTACTGTAACTTGAGTTATCCACAATGAAGGGATCATCAAACAAGTTATGCTGTCGATGAAAGTTAACGATCAGTTTGAGCCCAAATAAAATGCACACATCATTAACACTTCTTCTAGTTTATCAATTCGTATCGGTCTTTCACCCTACATACGGGCAATGACAGCAGTCGCAGCATCCTTGGTTCGGTTTTGTGGTGAGGACAAGACTGGACTAAAATGCTGTCAAATGTGTATTTTCTGAGCGCTGCCATCGAGCATTACATTTTGCTACTCCTATTCTCTCCCATTGACCAGTATTTTTGGAAAGTTCTGCTGAGGGATGTCACAGGTAATCTAGCTCGGAATCGCTAAAAAATAAGAAATCGTAGCATTGAATGGACACTATATAGCTCGTATGTTTTTCAAAGATCATCGGGTAGTTAGGCCGACATTACCTGCCCAGGTTTTTAGTAGAAACGTAGCTCTTGATTGTCTGATCTAACAATAAGGTGATTAGCTGAACTCGGTACAGAACTTTACTGCAGAGGCTGACGTTTCGGCGATTTTGTCTTCTTAAGAGTCGAAAAGTCAAATCAACTGCTGACTATCATGCCAAACACTCCAACGATTACAGAGAAAGACCCAGCACCTCAAAAAAGGAATGCCACTATAATGACTATCTATTTTCCAAGATTTATCTTCGAATTCAAAAACTATCGGCTTGCGAAAAGACGCTTTCTCTTAGTTACGAGACGAATTTTTCAATTTGTGCGTTACCGTAATTCCATGTATTGTAAGTAACCATTATTGTGATTGGATGCGATGTGGATATCGACTTCCTGCCGCAAGAGTATTCGATAGATTCTGCTCGTTGAGCTCAATGCTTATCTTACTAGGTTGTAACGAAAGTTTCGGACACTTGCGAAATTTTGCAAACTGCTGTAATTTCAAGTAGGTTGATCTTTTTTGAAAGCTGAAACTTTGCTAAAAAGGCAAGGTACAGTTTTGTCTACAAGGTAAGCTCATTTTGTTAATTCTCAGCACTTCATTTCGGGCCAACAGCATACGCAGCAGAGGGGAAGATCGACTTGAGTTTTGGTCTGTTGGTGCAGGAACTTCTCCGGCACGAAGAGAGCCGCAGAGCTCATATCCGGTAATTACGTAGAACTCTGCTAGGCCCGTTTGTAGACTGCGTCTCAATTCTAGTGGACAGCCTGTAGAAAAACTTTCTCGAAAAATTTGAAAAATCGGGCATTTTTGCACCCTGAGAATGCCCCATTTTTTTGAGTAAATGATGGAGGTCTTCCTTTTTTTCAAGGAATGATTAAACTTTCGCTGCAAATATTGTTGGGGGTAATGTTTTGCACATCCTTTAGACCCATCACGAGGCGTGACAATTCTTACAAAATCAACGCGACTGTGGAAGCAGGTGTGGTCAATGGCAAGTTTGAGAGGTTGTAATTTTTGTGCGCCTATTGTAAAATCCGAGAAAAGCTGCGGTCTTGAAGTGGACAGCCTCCTCATTCACAATGGCCAACCCTTAAATGGTTTTCTGTGTTGGTTATTGAAGAATGGCAGCAAAAAAGGAAAACTTTGAAATTTTTGTCGTGGCACAGACATCTTTTTTGGTGGGTAGATCAAATACGACTTGATATCGATAGAAACTGGATACGAGTCTGGTAAGCCTAGGCTTTCTTCTACCGTATAAAATATTTGTCGTTAAGGTTCGACCTGCGAAAAAAATGAGTCTAAAATTCAAAGAAGGACTTTCCAAAATTGCTCTGAGACTTTCATTACAACCTAGTGTCTTGATTCGATAAAGTTCTTGTCAAAGTTACATTGATGAGTTGTGGAAAGCCCTTCTGTGATGCCAGAGCATTAACAGCTGCTGATTAGAGTCAATGACTTTCGAGCTCTAGCCGCCTCGTTTGATTTTTAGAGAAAGATAAAATCAATTCATCTGCTCGTTCAAAGTTCATTGCGTTAATCATTTCAATTTATCTGCTCAGCAACAACTAATGGCTTTTGCAATATGCAAGTAACGTCGTCACAAAGATTGACGACAAAACGTACAATTAATAACGTACAAACGTGCAAATCCTAATCTGCAAGAGAAAATGTGCTAGTTTTCTCCGGCTACTTACGACTTTTCATTTGTTTTTGTAGTATGCTCAGAGCAGTAGAGTTTTTTTTTTCAGCATGAATCATTCTAGCCGTCTCAGATTGCGTCAAACTCGTGATTTCAATAATACAACTGGACTTTTATAATAGTTAGTTGGACACGAGTGAACTATGAACACTGATTTCTTGGGTGTTGTTCCATCTCCCTAGCTATAGCCGCTGTTGCTATGGCATTTGTGGGCGTGTAACGTGAGCTGTAAATCGACATTCTCATTGTCTCGTGTCTCTTTATCATAACAATTTTCATCATATTTTTGACGAAATCCTCCAGAGAACAATCTTCGTATTAATTTACATTGAACTGCTTGTAGCCTAAGCCAGAAAAATCGGAGAAGGTACAGCGGTATAAGTAGTCTGTAAACGGTGTAAGTAGTCTGAGCTTGATATAATAACGATGAAATCTTATCTACCACCTGATTACAATTTTCGATCCCGGCAGGGCTTTATGTGTTGATATTTATTTCTGTCGCTTATAACTGCATAACAACTCCATATCCACATTTAACAGCCATTTCTAAATTAATGTAAATTCTGCAAATTTGATAAATAGTAGCAATAACAATTGTAGTCATTCGTGTTTTCCACTCAGCATTGGCTGATGTTTAAGAAAGCTTTAACACTACTCAAGTGATTTCAACAAGTTGATTTTTTCGCAATAAGTTTGTATGAATTTTTTGTGAAATATTTGATGAAAACGACAAGTATATACAGAGTTTCCCAAAAGATGCGCCAAATGTTTGATTATTAATAACTCTCTTGTCATGAAGTCTTTTGAAAATTTCGGTATTGTTTTGTATTTTCAATTTGGATTTACATTTTTCTACATACTTACTTATCTACTTTTTTATTATCTTTTTTCATGCATGTGCATATCAAGTAGCTTGCATAATTTTAACATTCATGGTGGCCCCTTTATTCGCGACAAATATAATAATACTTGCTCGCTTACTTGCTCTAGTTTCAGTAAACATGCACCTTTTTTCGTTATATGACGTCCGTAGATGTGCCAATGATGGAGGATGCTATAAGCATATATGCTTTCGAGTGTGTATTATTGGGTATTGCCACATTCAAAATTAATCTCTGAGTATCTTTGCGTTTCATCTTACGCTTTTTCTTCGTAGTGGCACTTAATTCTTGCGAAACATATTTCAAAAAAGGAGTGCGTTCCCACCAGGGCCCGGCATCTAGAATCGAGGTGAGCTGGATATCGTTTTCGGAGGGAAAAGAAAAGGGGATATCGTTTCCGCGGTGTCTGTGACGGGGAGGCGCAAGCGCCGCCGGCATGCCGGCAGCCTGCTCGACCACGAACAAAAAACGATATTCACAACCGAAACGCAATGGTACGGCACCAAATGCTGCGCTGAGAGTGATGGAACTCGAACTTGGTCCCAGATTTGATGAAAATGTACGTAAATAAAAGCCGTGCCCAACTTTTTTTCCGATTCAGCTGGAACTGTTTTAGGAGAAGAGAGGCTCACATAACTTTTCACACTTATTTCTAAGTTTTACCCTTGAAATTCGCACGAGAAAAATTCGTGATCTTTCCTTCACAATTTCTTGAAGCCCTAAAAAATTTTGATTGGCGACGCAATTTGCTCCGGTCCATCCAATTTGCCTTTATCCTTTGATGTTGATCTTGTTAGAATTTATTTTGTCATCATTGTCAGGAGTGGGGAAGGTGTAGGTAGATGAAATATTGGCAGGAGGTGGATGAAATAAAAAGTAAGTAAGGCCGATGTAAAGGAGATACCTTTGATTCATACGATTCATACGAGATTGGCGGCTGGAAAGCGACCGCTCGCATTCACAACGCAATCTGCGTCTCTCTCGCGAACGTGCTCTAGAATCATTCTTTAACCTTAATTAGGCCACGAAGCCCCACCGAGCCGACAATTCAGTTGAATCAAAGGGTAGCGCAAGTGGTAGACTGGTAGGTTTCAGGCTTTGACCATAAAATAAAACGTGTTCGAAACATGATGCAGAGTTATTAGATTTTTTGAGTTTTGGTGTAGTAAATGGTAAAGAAGGAGTTTTCACCCTTATACCATCTATTCTGCAGTGGCGACGGCACAAGCAAAGCAGACAACTGAGAAGTAGTGAGAAGGAATGGAGTGGAGGTGGCTTAAAAAGTCAAGTGGGACTTCGTCAAATTCTTTCAAAGCCAAAGGTTCTTCGTTTTAAAGTCTCTCTGGTTCTAGCTGATGCCGAGCGCTGGTTCCCATACAAGCTTCGACTTGCACATTACCGGCAATGAGCAAATGTTGTGCTGGAAACTAACAACACATTATGCGAGTATCAATGAAAAAATTATCTTGCACCGCCGATTTTTTGTTACAGTAATCAATAAGAGCTGTCTTACAGCTGTGCAGTCGACTATATGGCATATTAATTAATTAAACCTGATTAACTATAGAGTCAAGATATTCTTAATGCGTTTGTAATAAACATTATCTCTCTTCGGAAAAAACCATATTGGAGTCCCCAAGTGATGTATCCTTTGATTCAAATGGTTTGGCATCTGGAAGGCGGGGCTCGTGACCTAATTAAGGCTAGGTAATTTATAGAGAGCACTCGCGCGAGAGAGACGCAGACCGCGTCGGGGGCCCGAGCGGCCTTAACTGGGTCACAAAGCCTCGCCTTTCAGTAGCCAAGCCAGTTGAATCGGTTAAACAGAAGGGATGAATTGCTGCGGGATTGCCTGAAAACTCTGGCTCGAACAGATTATGTTTGTGCGGGGTAATGATAGTAGGTTAGTCTCTTTTACATAAACACTCTAGAAAATTGAAATTATTTAAACTTTGATCTATTTATAAAAAATTTATGTTGAATGCTTTACACATTTTGGGTTCTATCTTGCTGATTTTAACTGACCAAAGAATTTCTGCACTAAGTTTTGTTTGACCGAGCTAAGTAGCATCTAATGAACGTCCTTTTTGCAATATCTTGCGTATGTAGAGTTTTACTACAAATTACACGTATTCATTATTTACACATTACGTTGTAAAAACTAATGGTGTTCAAATTCTTGCAGGCTCACTTCACTTGGTGCTAACTTGCAGAGTGGTAATACGTAATCGGTCGTTGATGTTTTAAAAAGTTTTTCTGACACGCATCTACTTTGTTACTCAATTTCACCAATATATCCTTCCATTAGAAGCGTTTTACTTTCAAAAAAAGTTGGATTTGCGCTCAGTCGAAAATTTCAGACATGTGCGAGGTGATGGATTCCAAATCTCACAGCGGTGATAAACCTGTCCCACTATCGGCTCTGTTTGGAAAAATGATCGCTTTTGATTCCTCTGAACACTCATCCACCAAGTTTTCTTCTCTAAGCACCGAGTGTCCCGAGATGGCCGTGGATGTGGATGTAAAGCCGAGCTGTTCCAACTGTGTAGTGGGCAAACTTGAAATACCTGTGGGTTATTCGATTACCAGAATCAGTTTTATCTGAATCTCAGACTATTTTTCTTTCAGCCACCTCCAACACCGATTCGATCTTCATCCACTTGTCAAGTTTGCACCGCGGATGGTGCAACACTACATTACGGTGGTCTGGTATGCGGGTGAGTATAAATTTTATACCAAGCTTAAGTTCTGGCTTTCGGTTATGCCAGAAATTTCGTCTGAAGCTACTATATCGCTCTGTCTTATTTAGTAGAGTATCTGCCAAGGAGCAGTTATAAATGATAAGCACTAAAAGTACTCGATGTACTGTCAATGCATTAATTAGCTCACCTACACATGAATGAGCTTACCGAAATTACATTATCGGCAACATAAATATTTAGTGCGGAAGAGATACGAATGAGAAGGGCAGTTTTTTATGGCTCTTGCAAATGAGTTGTTTTTTCTTTGAAAACTTGGGTTTTTAGTCCAAACATGTATTTTATACAAAAGCGCAGGCAGGATAGGTTGCATAGCAGTTGAGAATTCTTGAAGAGCTTCTCAATGTTGTAAAAATCGTTGACCAAATTTTTTTTATAGGCCTTTTATCCTGATCTCCGCTTTAGCACTCCCAGCACTGCTAAAGAGTTTTCTTGGGGAACGGAAAGGTCTTCTAAGGCGCTATCGATCATGATAGTGCTTGATTCCAAACTGACTTTCTGACTACGTCATCAAAATGTTACCCTTTGATTCAACTTTTTTGGCGGCTGGAAGGCGGGGCTTCGTGACTTCATTAAGGCCGGTACTGATCAGAGAGCATGCGCACTGGAGAGACGCAGACTGCATGCGGGCGCAAGTGGCCTTGATTAGACCACAAAGCCCCGCCTTCCAACCGCCATTGCGGTTTTGAAGTGGACAGCCTGCTTATTCACAATAATCAGCCCTTAAATAATTTTTTCTGTTTATTATGAAAAAATGGCAGCAAAAGAATAATCTTGAAACTTTCGTCGTGACACAGACTTCCTTTTTTTGGTTTGTAGATCAAATACGGCTTGATATCGACAAAAAATGGATGTGAGTCTGGAAAGCATAGGTTTTTTTCTACAGAACCATATAAAATATTTGTTGTTAAGAATCGACCAACTGCGAAAAAAAAAATGAGTCAGTGGAATTCCCAAAACTGCCCGGGAACTTTCGTCACAACCTAATACTTACTATACTATTGCTCAGTCCCACAAACGCTCCAAAAAACTTTGAAACCGTACGATGCCTTGAAACAAGTTGGATTGGCCATGCTCACGTCACGCAAACATTGGTTCTCAACAGTATATTGTCTTTTTGCAAGAAACGCATAGTTCTATTGCTTTCCTATGCTTATGACGTGGCTTTGAGTGAGAAAGTAAAGTAGGTTTAAGCAGAAGTTCTAGACACAAGGGAAATGAGATAAAATGAATGCTGAGATCTCGGAGCTCAGTGATAACTACAATTTGATTGTGCAATAGAAATGAAAAAAAACGTGAAGCAATTGAGACCTCATTTCCAAAATTCAATAAAATTTTCTCAGCCTTCAGTGTAATTCAAAGCATAAGAAGAGAAGATGATATGAGCTTTTGTATGCGGAAAAACAGAAATGAGGGTAAAAAATGTGCAAGTTATTTGACACATACCAACTATCGTTCCTCTTGCTCGGCAATTACTTCTGCATCAGAAATCAGCAATGAGCTGATAATTCATTACCTCTCGAGTCAAAATACCCTTAAATATAATCACTAGTTCTACTGAAGTGAACATATTTGCACCAGAACACGAATATGCACTATGGGGTTAGCATCCGTAACACTTACTGTATATAGCAATGATTTCTGAGTTGAGGATTATAATGCCATTTGGAATGAAAGCGGCTGTGTATAATAATAAGCGGTACCTAAATGGCACAGTTCTCGTACTCGATTGTCAAACATGTACTTTTGCTTCGTAGAACTAAATCTGAAATACTAATTGCGCTCATTTGATTATCCAATCAGTCTTCACTTTCAAAAAGCAGAGAGCAAAAATAACATCAATCTAGCTAAAGTTATAGCCACTCTGGCATTACTTTCTTTTTTGTCTATTAAATCCAACCTTATATTGAAACGTGAAGTTTTGCATTTGGAGGAAATAATCTACACAACTGTCTCAAGAATTTTTCGTCACCATTAATTACTTGGAAACTTGTGGATGTAGATATTTTGGTATCTATGTAGATAATTTGGTCTATGCCGCACATGATTAAGTCAAAACCTTGAATTTTGAATCTTTGAACTATTCTCAACAAATTTTTGAACTGCATTATTGCATAGCTCAAGCCTCCAGATTGTCTTCGTATTAGTCCAGGGCTACTCGAAATCCATGAAAAGTTAACAAACAGAAGATTGCGAGAATTTCCGAAAAGTAAAGAAATTTTGGTTGAAGATCCGTTACAGGATTGCCTTTTATCTACTGCTACACATGCACCTGAAGGTGAAAATGATGCCAATGAACTCTGACCAACAAACCCATTTGATACTATTTCTTTGGCCTTTAATTGTTGACTTGCAGAGGTTGCAAAATATTCTTCGCTAGAGCAGTGCAGAGAAAAATCTACTACGTCTGTGAGAAGTCCGGCTCTTGTCGAATGATATCTGGTATATTAGCATTATTGTCTTTATCTCATTACACATTTTTGTTCTAGGCAAAAGGTCCAAGTGCAGATCGTGCCGATTCCAAAGATGTCTAAAAGCCAGGATGTGTCCAGAAGGTACTCGAAATAGCCTTCTGTAACGCTAGCAAAACTTCAGCCATTCAGAAGTCGGCAAATTGAGGGATTTGAAGCTGCCTGACCACATCGTTATTCCTGCAAAAGAAGAAAGCAGTGTCGTTCCCTATTTCGACTTGGCTGCATTTCGCTGCGTAAGATTTTCAAAGCTATCGATGTTGCATGATAACAAGAACCAAACTTGGAAAAGCTATGTACCCTTTCAAATCAATGTTTATTTGTTTACCTTCGTGTACGCAAGATGATGCGGTGTGCTGGAGAGTAACCTTAGGCTTGTGCACGTCTGCTTCGTTTTTTTGCTTCGATAGGTTGCCTTTGGCAAAAATAACCGTGTGGCCCTCCCCTTTGTATTCTATCAACTAGTGTTTTTGCTGTAAAATCTAACATTTTGATGACTCGCCAGGTCCATTTCTCGCGATATCTATGCAGGATAAAACAGACGATCCTTAGCTTGAAGCGATTTGAGTGCTTTCGAAATTTCACTTCAAGGCTCAGCACGCATCATCTCGCCAGCAAGCGAACCAGTTGAAGGTAGTGGCTCGAGGAAATTGCAGCTGCGCGCTTTCTGTTCCTCCGTGATCTTCTGCACAGTGACTGGCTGCAGGAGACTGTAACACCACTCATTTTGGCGGCAATTGGCTGATTGGCCTAGACAGCCAATCGCGACCCGGCTGCGGAAATCCGCTTCAGTCTCCTCAGCAATCTTGAGACCGGATAACGCCATAAAAAGCACCTTTTTGACCAAGCGTAAGTTCTAAACGAATCCAGAAGACCAAGGAGGAACAGAAAAGCGCAATTGCAATATTTCCTGAGCCACTGTCTTCAAGGAGTATGATGAGACTGTGAAAACGGGCATGCTGACTCAAGCGCACATAAGGCACACACAATAATTTTCGACCAAATCAGCTTTTGTCCAAAACATGATGTAAAAACTGAAAGAGGTTGTTGTTTTGTCGGTAGCACTCATTACTGCATGCGGATCATGCAGGCATTCGATATCTCACGTCGATAAGCTGTGTCTAATCTATTGCGTCATTGCATATAATGCGATATTTCTACATCAGCAGTGACATTACGGCAAATATATACGTTCACGTTTCTTGTTAGAATAAGCAAACATACGCTCGTGTAAGGAAATTAAATGTCAAGATTAGTAGAAAGCTCTTGCTTACGTGGCTGCTGATGTGGCAGAACGAACGAAATATAATTTCTGATTAATGTATACAAAGCAAATGAATCAGGAGAAGCGACGGCTAGAAGGAATTCTTTATTTTGCAAGAAACTTCTCTTTTTAGGAGCATTTCAGCCAGGGCCTGGCACCAGCTGGCACGAGGCAAGCTGGATATCGTTTTTGGGGACAAAAAGCAAAGGGGTTATCGTTCTTGCGGCGGAAAAGACACAAAAATTGCGACGCTTTTTTTCTAGGACGTTTAGGTTTTTGAGGGTTTTTTACGTTTTATGGTTAAGGGTCAAAGAGGATCTCGTAAAACGCGAATGTCAAGGGGGACTTCGCTTTGGAAATTCTCTGGTGCCAGCTCATGCCGAACCCTGATTCCAGTCCTCGATTTCCATTGAAAAACAAACTAGTAAAAGAATATGTATCACCAACTTTCTAGTGTCAATCTCTTCTCGACTCCATTTTACTTTATATCGAACGGCGGCACTTGAATGCACTTACGTAGCATTTCAATTTCTTTGGAACCTGCTTTGCTACTTCGAAACTAAGAGTCTATTGCAGATGCTCACATTACCTTTTTCAGCAGCAGAACGAAACATTCCAAAATGTGAAGAATCCTCTTCTTGAACGATTTGGTACGGCCGAGGGAGTCAAATACCTCACTCGGATGCTTGTCAACCTAGAAAGGTAGTTCCGTGGTATCCGTCTTTACCTCAAAGAACTAAGATCCCTTCATCTTCAGAAGTTGTGACAATAATGCCTACGCATCATCTGTGCCTGAAAGCTACTTCTGCAGCTTAGATGTATCATTGCAACAAGCGTTGCGAAATCCTCTGCTTGTCTGTGAGCGAACACCGGTATGTATATGTATGTATTGAAGACCGTACCAAAACATCGTCCTCTTTCATCCTCTTTCATATGCGGGTATCCCAGCTGCACCGAATACGATCTTATAAAGACCTAAAAGGCAGTGTGCGCGCAAAAATTTATTTCCTAACAAATTCACTTATCTGGGGTTATCGGTTATCAAACTCCCTTTAGAGCGCACATATCGCAACGACCAGGACATTTGGGTCACACGGACTTCAAAGGAATCCGTTCTTCGACATTTTCATGTCCTTCAAAGGCAGTGCCCGATAAGACTCGGATAGTGGGATTCTAGCTCCATACAAAAGTAGACAACCTCGCACGCAACCCCGCACAAGTGTTCATAACGCACCAGAAGGGAATCCGTTCGGAAAGATGATGTAATGGGGAAGCCTCGCCAATCTGCGGATTTCACACTGCAAGCCGAAGGGGTAGAAGACTATGGCCGGTAGTAAAGCTCGACAATTCAGGTGATCTGAACTGAAGCCATTAGTTGAGGATCCGTCAGGTGGAATGACGACCGTCCAACTTCCGATGCTACAAGCATGCGAAGTGAACTGACGGTTGATCATCCGTCCACATCCCGTCTTCAGCTGATCCACTGCTACCAGTTCACGTTCAGCTGAGGAGTGAAGTGATGCAAAGTGTGGAAAATACGAGGCACAGAGAGCATTCATAAGCTGTTCTTGAGTGTCTTACGATACACATCAATTCTCCCAAAACTGCGGACAAAATCGGCGCAAAACTGCATAATACCGGGGCCCGAAAAGGAAAGGATCTATGAACAACCGCTTTGGCGTGAAAAACAAGGGAACAGATTCTTCTCTTCTTTTGTAAAGTTTGCTGGCTTTTTTTGTAAAGCTGCTCAAACCGAGACTTACTAACTTACTTTATTGGATTCATAGGGAAATCAATTCATTCTCCATTGCGTTTTTTCATGAAATTTTCTTGGATATGTGCATTTGTTTTATCCATGCATTTGTTCAGCGGAATCTTTGATGAGGTCCTCAGCTAGAGTGGGCACCGCTACAGTCAGGATGGTAGAGTCCTACAGCGATTTTGCGTCTTAGCGTTGACGGGAAGCCCACTCGTGAAAATAAGATGGAAGGGGTGAAGCTCCAAACTCGATGGGATTCGCGCTTCTAGGGATTGAGAGCTTTTATAGGAATTGGGAAAGTCTAGATTTCAACGTAGCGAGTAAGCCGAGCTAAGCAAAAAAAGTTGACATTGCGTTCATTGCCCGGATGCTGCCTTTGAGGTACATTTTTGGAACAGCGAGATGGATTAGACCGGGTTCATGAATCTTTAGATGGTTTTTCTAGACGAAAACTGATGTCAATTTAACGTCCTTCATCGTGTTCAGCTCGCTTCTTATATAGTTGCCACAGTGTGGCAAATTTAAGGGAAAATGGTGCTCTAGCTTTGATAACAATATTCATGCGGAAAGAATGACAATGAGATGCAAAAAAGCGCTTTATGATTTCCTACGCGTAAGCAGAGCTTGCTAGTTTTAATTTAGTTTCACAACCGTAACGCAGTGAAGTCCTTGCTGAAACAGATGCTTAAAGGCAGTGTCCACGCAAAAAGTCGATTTCGAGGTTTTATGTTTACCTGGGCCTATTCGCTATGCTGAATCCGAAAATCAACACCGGAAAGCGCGAAAACGGCGTAAAAAGGCTCTAACGGAGGAGGGAAATTGCAGGTGGGCGGGGCTGTTCACATCGTGACGTCACTCTCCCAGCTTCAGGAGCGATCTTTTCGCTTCCGCTAGTCGCCCTAACATCACAACCAGCCAACTGCGAAAGCATGACATAAAATCGGAATCTAGAAGATCGCTCCTAAAGCCTGGGAGAGAGACGTCACAGTGTGAACGGCCCCGTCCACCTGCGATTTCGTTCTTGCGTTAGGGCCTTTTTTGGCGTTTTCGCGCTTTCCATTGTGGTTTATCGGATTCAGCATGGCGAATAGGTCCGGGTAAGCACAAAATCTCAAAATCGACTTTTTGCTTGGACACTGCCTTGCTTAACCGCCGCACTGCAAAACCCTTCCTCTTTCTCACTCTTCTAAACACAAAACCCCGGCTCCAAAAGTATCTTGTACTTCATTGCACATGCAAACTTTCAAACTTCTAGATCATCTGGTACCATTCAAAAGCCTTGAACGGCCCTACAAACGCTGTCAAGCCATTGTATTGTCGTCTGCTGCTGCACTATATGGAGTGGTTGTGCGCCGTTGACGATTTCATGGCACTCGATGAACGCTACAGAGTAAGTAACAATAACTCAGTATCTCATCAAACTTTCTTTATATCTCTGCGACTTTTTGCAGGAGCGACTCATGGCATCTCATCTTATGACAACATTCTTGTTAACTGTGAGCTTCAACGCCTTCAAACAAAACACCAATGATCTTCCTCTCGGTAGTGGCTTCTTCGTACCAACTGGAAGTTGCTGCTTGAAAAAATACGGGTAAGTACTTGGATTGTTTTTCATCTGCACGGTTTGATCTTCGTGTATTTTCATTTCTGCAGTGACCTTCAGTAAATGCTGCATCGTCGTCGTTTTCGACCTGATATAGCCTCTTGAACTCATGGCTCAAAACAGCCCTTGCTTTTCCTACATTTACATTTCAGTGAATACTTTAACACACTACATAATAACTAGTAATCGATATCCAAAACTGCGTAGCATCCTTGCTCACTAAACCATCTGCATGAAGCTGCGGAAAGATCAATTTGCTTGGACTTTTTGATTTGTAATCAAGAAAAAATCTGAATTGAAAACCAAATTGAGTAGCTTCACAAGATGTGCTTACAAAAATTGTATACAAATCAGTGGGACATAATACACGGTTGCGGTCAGTAATAAGAAGGCTCGTTTTCCTGAGCTCGTATGTACGTAAAATACCGCTCGTGATTACCGAGCTTCACCGGAGTTAACCGAAATTAGCGTCGCATCGCCCTTGGTTCAGATTGGACGAATTCTTAATCAGTGGAACCTTTCAATCCAGCTTGACAGGGCGCCTTTTTGAACGGAACTGCGATCAGGTGCCCGGTAATAATAAATTTCTTTAGGTTTTTGCCTATGATAGATTACTCAGTTTGCAATGAATAATCACACTGGATACTTAGCCTATCATAAGCGAACTAAAAGGATTCATGTAGTCTGACCGCCTATCGTGCACCTACCTAGAGCAATTCTGTATACTAGAAGCTGCGCCTTGCCGAGCTGGATCGAACGATGCCCTTGGATCCGAAGTTCGTCCACTCTGAACAAGGTATAGCAATGAGACGCGGATTTTGGTGAACTCCGGTGGAGTTGGGTAATTTTTGGACTAGTTATGAGCGGTATTTTACAGGCGCATGAGCTCAAGAAAACGAGCTCCCTTATCGTTGACCGTAACCCTGTATTATGTCCCACTGATTTGTGTACAATTTTTGTTAGATCGGGTGAACCGCTGCTCAATTTGATTTTTCGATCAAAAGTTTCTTCTGATTCCAAATCAAAAATCACACCTAAGCCAATTGATCTTTCCACAGCTTTATGCAGCTGCTTTAGTGGACAAGGATGATACGCAGTACTGGAGTTCAGTAATTTTTTTTGGCGATATCTATCTTGTTGATCGCAGAATTCTAATGCGGGGATAGTATATTATAGGGGTAGGACTTCCAATATGTGGAGCCAGTGGAGTTCCGACAAATTTTTTTTCGCCTTAGAACAGAATTTCGTTAAATGAAGGGGCGTGGCTGCTTTTTGAAAACATTAAGGACACACAGAGGGCCACGCGAAATCTTTTATTCTTTCAATTATTTTCAAAGAAAACGAGCCACTTGCACAACTTTCTAACTCGTGTACTTTCTCTCTCTCTCATAAAATTTTACTATCATCATCTCTTCATCGAGGAAGTCTCATTAGATGTGCAAAGCATCTCCCATTCACAATGAGTTCTCTTACAGAATTGATGTGAGCTTGGTCGTGGATGAAGTGCAACGAGCGATAGTGGGAAAATTTCGTGAGCTCAATGTTTGCGAAGAAGAATACGCTTTATTGAAGCTAATCTTCCTTTTTACAAATAGTGAGTTTTTTCCAAATCTGCTCAAAAAGGGTAAGTGATGCCAGTCTGATGGGTCGTCCAGAACGTTCAGAATCTCGCGGTTAAATAGAGGAGTCTCAAAACCGCATTCGGTGCAGCTTTTGCTCTTCTTTCTGAAGGTGCAAAGCTGACAAATTTTTTCAGACCGTGTGTTGTATGCTTAGAATTTTGTTAGCACTGGAAATTCTGGAGCGACAAAAACACTTTTTGAGCTGTTGGTATTGCTATCAGATTCTTGCGTTCCGCTCCTTATTAGAGAAGGATCAAGTCGCAATCAGGGCCCGGCACGCGTTGGTTTGGAGGTTTTTAGTAAACGAAGTCCCCCATGACTTCGCGAAAATTTACGAAGTCCCTCTCGACGGTTTTTTTTGTTGCTATTTTGGTTGAATAAGGGTTTCCCTAGTGAAAATCACTAGGGAAACCCTTATTCAACCAAAATAGCAACAAAAAAAAACGAAAAAAAGCGCATTTTGAGGTATGTAATATAACAAAAAAGCAAAAAGAAAACATTTCGAGTCGATTAAAGGCTCTGCCATTGGGTATAGTACCATTTTGATGCTGGGAATGTCGAGAATCTCCTAGGCCAACCAAATCTGTAGCCTCAACAATCCTGCGATGCATTTTTCGCCACATATTTCAAAGGACACCGTAAGTGATTGGAGCGCGATATCTATCAACGCGTAGAATTATACCACTTTTGACTCAAAAAAGGGGAGAGGCAACGGTTTGATCTGCTCTCTTCACTATATGATAGATTTTTGACCGTTCTAATCGTCCAAATCAAAAAGGTCCAAAACTTATGTGAATTCTTCGATATTTATGCTCCGAACCAACCCAATTGGTTTGGTAGTTGGTCTAGAAACCAACAAATTCGAGAACGGATATTAGGACACATAAGTTTTGGGAACTTTTTACATAACATAGTTTGGAGTAATATTGTATGCTCCTAGCCCAAATTCGGAGCCATGTGATTGTTTGTGCGCTATAAACAAGCCATTTGTTTGTTTGAGTCTTGCTTTTGAAATTCGCGCGCTTGCGAAATAACACGTTCAACTCGTGAAATCTGACATGTTCGTCGTGTTTTTTTTGGCGCTTCCTCCAGGACCTCATAAAAACGATGTCCCCGTTGCTTCTAACTTCAAAAACGAAGTCCAGTTTGACCCCAAACCATCGTGCCGGGCCCTGGTCGCAATGGCGCTCTGGAACAAAGTGCATATAATTAAATGCATCATGTTGAGCTGATTGCAAATTTAATTTTCGTGTCTATTGCGAGGTTCTCTAAAAGAAGTCATGAGCGTTTGGAAGTTCAAATCACAAACTTCTAGCGCCACACTTTTTAGAAATAGTTGCTCAAAAATCTATGTTTTCTGTGAATGTGTGCATCTTTTGTAGTCAGTACATCTGAGTGGTGCCATGTATGCACAAATTTCATAATTCTCAAGTGAAACAAAAGTGAAAAAATTCTATGCTAAGCGCTTTACCTGCATCATTGAAAACCCAAAGTTTCCCCGTTGACAATCGGGAATTTTCGCACTTAACAGATTTCTTGAAGATCTAGGCGTTGGTAATATCGCAAAATTTGTATGCATCAGAAAGTATACATCTAACATTAGCAGGAGGAGAAGAAGCTGGATTCAATTTTGCTGGAGATATTGGTAAATTAATTTGCGAGATGTGTTGAAGCCGAAAGATCGAGTAAAATCTAATGCGAGCTGACAATTTATGATATTACTATCCCATTTATTTACTAATAAGGTGAGATATATTTCAGTTGATGCCCTTGATGAAAAAGTTGCTACCACCATGAGACGTATTCGCAACAAATACACGTATCTTTTGGTTGAGTACCTGAAGACATCGAGGAAATGCCAATCCGCTGAAAAAGCATACAATCGTCTGCAGGAACTTCTCCAGATATTCGATCAGCTTATCGTAAGGGCTCAAACATTCATTGAGAAAATATAGTTCTTTCGGCTGAATTGTCTTCATCGAGAATTGCAGAGCATCGCGGAAATCGCGGAACTTCTACTCATCCACATCGTGGCTCTTGATATAGACGGAATGCGTGGACAACTAACGTTCGATCTTCATCTGCGTGAAGAATCAGAATAATCAGATAGTTTCCATTCAAATTCACTGGTAATATATACCTTTCTTGTTCTTATTGTATGGTTGTGACTTCTCGTGCGATAATTACACTTTGCAAGGCAGGAATATTCTAACATCATCAGAAGTCTAGGACTTTTTTAGTGAGTCTCGAAACATATCGATTGGTGAATTGTTCTTTATATCGATTGTAAATAGTAGTTAATAAAGCAGACTCGTTGAGATTTATGTGTACTTCGTATTTCACAAAATACTGATTTAGATTATAAATCTGTATCAATGAATATATCTAATTTTTTCCTACAGCACCTGAAGTAATTTTGAGATAGATATAACTCTGAGTAGAAACAGCTTTGCGCTATTAACAGGGGGCTTAAAAGATTGGAACGGCATCGTATTGAAGATTAGTTTGAAAAAATTGCTGGTGTTAGAGAGTTGACATGACTGCAGTAGAGAGAAGATTTTGTAAGTTCAGCTTCTTTTGAGTAATTTTCGAAATACATCACTTTGCGGCAGTGTTAAACTACGATTATCCAAAGTGTCGGGACTCCGTACAAAGCTGCTTTTTTAAAAAATTAGTCAAAGACGATGTGCTTGGAGAACCGTCTATTTCCAAACAGTTGGCAATGCTTTGAAAGTTCATGCAGATTTTATCTGAACAAAACGTAACGTCACTTCACTATTGCAACAGTTGCTTGAGCCTTCCCAATTTCAAGGCAGCTAAAAACATTCAAATTTTTATGAAAATCGAATATCGGTTATGGTGTGCGCTATATCATGCATGCGATGAAAGTATGAGATGTAAAAATATTGTAAGTTTGAGTAGGAAACGATTGATCCAAACCTTTGATGCTTTTGCAGTTTTCTCCTTAAGTTGAACTGGGTTCTAAGGTAATTCTCAAAACATCGATAACTGCACAATACGTTAGCAGCACTTAAGCAAGACCTATAACCTTTTCCAACGTACTTTACGCTGCTTATTGCTTCCGTTATTAATCGCGCCGTTTTTTCTGCATAGTGGATTCGTCTCCTGTTTGACTTTTTAGTAGCGCATATCTGCTTTTGTGTTACATCGCAGAAGCAAATAATATGTTGTTGATCAACCATGGAGACACATCAAGGTGCTCTGAGGAGGATAGCGTCAAGACCTATTTTTCAGCACATTCCACGTTCGGGTAAGTAATCGGGTTCACTTTACTCTTGAATTTCTCGTAGTAATTTACCAACAAAAATGCATGGACTAGATAAGCAGAACGTGGGTTGGAGTGAATCAGAAAAAGGGTGTTTGCAGAATCTGAAAATTTTTTCCGCAAGCTTCGATAGCACATAGAGCCAGGAAACCTAAAGGTGACTAGCTTTGATAGTAAAGACTGTCTCGCAGTGGAGTTTTCCAGCGTAGTAGGAGGAATCGAGTTCAAAAATTTTTGCGGGATTCTGTTAATACCACTCCTTTTGTAGAGTGTTCGAGTTATAAGCTCGCGAAAAATTTGAGATGTCCCCCAAAAACTGAGATAAACCTGGATAACATACCACATTTGGAAAAACAAATGTGGTATGTTATCTTCTTCCATTCTTACCTTGAAAAAACTTTCAGGACGTGTCTCTTCTTCTGCTTATCTTATGGAGTTTCATGAGCTTAGAGTTGAATTCATTATAAAGAAAAAAAAATCGTTTTTTCCTGTCAAATCTCAATAATTATTTTTCTAGGTAAAGGATTGGTACCCAGGCCATGATAGAGAGCTTCAGGAATAAAAAGCTTAGAATTTCAATCTTGATTGGAATTTTCTCCGTCCATGCAGCTTTTGCAAGCAGTAAAGCACTTTCTATCGCCTTTTTCTCGGATTGAAGCCGGTTAAGCACTTTCTCACCATCTCCGTACGTTTCCGAAACCAGCATAGCACAAAGGGCGCTGAATTTGAGTCTTGACTTTATATTGATCGCGCATTGGAAATGTTTATTTCAGAGAACCAACAGGATCAGGTTGGAGTCGATTACTTACAAGGGGAGGAAGGTTGGTCGAAGTGGCCTTTTGAGATGCGATGTACACTGACTTGTACTAGAGCAGCTTGGAACGCTGACTCCAAATCCACTTTTATTATCTGCTGCAGGCTTCTAGGCAAGGAGTTATGAAGGTTGTTGTGAGTAAAAAGTTCAGTGCAAAATTACTATAAAATCAGTCGTAACCTTTTCCTAACGTTCAAATGAGGCAGCAGCGAGTCGGTATAATTAAAACAAAAATATTTGTCGCACTGAGTGACCCGATTACCAGTTAAGCCCTAGAAAAAAATGTTACGACTGATTTTACACTAGTCTTGCAATCAACTTTTTACTCATAAAAACCTTCATAACTCCTTGCCCGCAGCAGATAGCGAAGGCAGATTTGGAATCAGCGCTCCAAGCTCTACAAGATAGTGTGCACAACTTTTCAAAAGGCCACTTCGACCAACCTTCCTTTCCTCGTTAGTGAAGCAAAGGATTTTCTGCATGATATAGCTGATGAAACCCAAAATGAGCAACCAGAGCAGAGCGACTGATTCTCAGAAATTATCAGCGATTGCTCTTCGAAGAGATTCAAACGATATATGAGTTCAGTGAGTTACAGTAAGGGAAAATAATCAAAAGGAGTTTTCAGGTGTACTCTTAATCAATAGTGCGAGGATGGACAGCTTCTTTGGTCTGTCTCTTCTCTGAATACAGTTATCTCTGAATTGTACCAGGTATGCAATCTTTCTATTAGCTTCAATAAAAAGTTCTGTCGCTTTGATCTTGACAAAAATTCGTAACTGCTCTCTATGTGAACGTATTGACTTAAAAAATATCTCCACATAGAGAAATTCATCTACTTTCTAAAAGCACTTCGTAGCTCTTTGATGGCGAATAGTGTCAGAGATAAAAATTCAAATAGGAGAACCACTCAAACTCGCGCGTCAAAAATTTGACAAACACTGCAGAAAAATCTGGGAAAATGTTTCTTATAGGGTTTGTAGCTGCTGTTTCTAAAATGCCAAGTTGAGTTTGTGTTAATCGAGCTTTTCTATAAAAAGTCATGATTTTCGTGGAAAATGCAGAAAAATGCAAAAAAACGTTATTTTTGCAGTTTTTTGCATTTGTCACGAAAATCACTATTTTTGCAAAAAAGCTCGATCAGCACAATTTGGCAACATTAGGAAGAGCAGCTCACAAAACCTCTAAAAACATGCTCTCAGATTTTTGATGACTTAATTTCGAAGGCCACGAGTTAGCGGTTTTTCTATTCGAAATTTATCTCTAAAGCCTTTTGTCGAGCGGTTTTTCTATTCGAAATTTATCTCTAAAGCCTTTTGTCGACAAAGAGCAGCGAAGATGTGATTAGAAAATAGATGAAGTTTTCAATCTGCAAGTATTTTCTGTAAGTCAATACCTTCACATGGGCAGTTACGGATTTTTCAAAATTAATGCTACAGAACTTTTGAATCAACCTAATATCTCGACCCAGCGCGCGACCATTTGCCACATTCCTGTGAGCTTCTCAATCTCAATTTTCCAAGCAGCGCACCGGGTCGCAAGAATGTCATCTTACCAGCGCTTAAATAACTCACTGAAATCGAAATACCATTCATAAGGTTGACAAGAGAGCGAAAGAAAAGATAATCTGATAGAGCGAGATTGGGGAGTACGTTGGGTACTAAAGTACCTTCCAATCAATCTAACGACGTTTGGTATGAGGTCATGTTTCAACAAGCAGAAAAACTATGGATCCTTTTTGGGCTTTTTCTGCGCTACGACCTGGTCCAAACGGTGCAGTCGCGTTGCCTACGCTATGGTCGACCGTCATACTCCTGTCCAGCATAGCACATGACGCCCTGACGTTCCCGTCCGAAAACTCTTGTTCAGGGACATCCTGCTCAGCCTCTGGTCTCTTGTAGCAATCCCATCCTTTTTGTCCCAAATTGACGTGCGAACGCCATGTTCCACGATCGGCAAAAAACCTGTGCAAAAACGCTTCTTTTTATAAAAATGCGCAAATGCCATTGCTCCTTTTTGCATTCTAAGATTTTCACCTTTAGCAGCTAAGAAATCTGAATTTATTAGCTTTCCACTGGACTAAATACATTTCAAAAACCATTAGTAGCTCTTTCCAGTGATAAACGAACCTTGCTGCAAGTCAATTGCTCCTCAGACAAGTGAGGACCGATGAAAACGCTGCGAAATTATAGAACGACATAATATAATTCGTTTATCAGATAATGTTGTCATTCTGCTTGTTGGATTAATGCACGTGCATAATAAATGTCGAAAACATGTGCATTTTGTTCTACAAATTATGAGATACTTGAACAGCAGCGCAAACATTTATGTTTAAAATATCGTCTATTATTCATATGAAGTGCGCAGGAGGTACAGATTTTTCCGGCCTGTATACACTCGCAAAGCATATAAATTCACGGGGATGAAGAATAGGCAGCAGTGAAGGCGTTTCCTCTTCTATGTTTCGCTTTCAGGTCTTCTTCTTGCATCAACATAACGAACACTTTTCAAAAAGTTTTTTTTGGAGCTTTTGAGATGAAACACATATACAGGGTGAAGTATGTTTACACTGTTTGATCGTCAATATCTTTCTTCCCAACAAGTCTTTTGCCTTGCTTCAGGTACCGTTTTGTAGAGCTGGCTTCAACTTACGTTAGATTTACAGTATAGAGCGAATCACCGATCGCCCTTCAATGCTGTAGTTACGGTAGAAACTTGAAACATATGGTGTCAATGTGGAAAAAGCTGCCTCCTCTAAACTTTTCAAAAAAATGTGAAAAGTTGTGTAATAGTGTTTTTATGGACGCTGCATTCAATACTCAACTGTTCACAAGATTAGGAAGCTTTCTAAACGGTGTAACCGCACTTTTTAAGAACATTGAAAAAATGGCCGTTACCAATTACCCGGTATAACTCTTCAATAAAGCATCATAATAAGTTGAGAACTTTACAGTTAGAATCAACAAGTCTAATTAGCCTAGTGTAAAAACTTTCAGGCTGTTCTGTTTTCTTTCTGAGGCAAAATATGGCCTTTCATGTCTCAAAACCCTCTTTGAAGTTTCTACCGTAATCCTACAGTAATGAAGAGAGGTGGGTGATCGTTCTGTATTGCAAATCTAAGCTGAAGCCAGCTCTACAAAAGGATA